TTTTTTTTACATAGATTATTAAATTAAAAAAATAACTATTAAAACACGAAATGTAAATTTTTTCTCTTTTACAACACAAAATATACAATACTGTTGAATCAAAATTTTCTCTTGGCAGCAGGTGGTTTTTGTGACGCGACAATTATGATGCTTTGCATCTCATGAATTAAAGTTAATTCTCTTTCAATCTTAAGGTGTTCATACCCCTTATAATTTTCGGACAAGAATATCTCAAAATATTTAAATTTTGGCAAAATAAATTACGCAATAATATCTATAATATGCATATATTTTAATGTTTTAATTCCTTCCAGTTTCCCAAAAAACTAAAAGGGCTTTAATTTTGAAATATCATAATGAAAATAAATGCATTCCTCGACAGCACTATTCTTAATATAATCCCCAAATTTAAGCCCCTAATGTCTTGTTAATGATTTCTTAAAATTCGCCAAAATTAGTGGCTAAAACGCTTCGTTAAGTGCTATCTTCTGGTGTAAACTGGTGTAAATTATTGCAACAAACGAATAATAACAGAGTGTACGATACGATAGTTACAAGCCCGTTACACTGTTTTCCACTCAATTTATTAAAAAAAAATAATAATAAATTGGGGTGTTAATTTTTTTTCTCTGAAGCTATTGGTTTTGGGAAAAAAATTCAAGAATAAAAAAAAATTAAATAAATCAAGGATTTCATAAAAGTTCATCTCGAAAAAAAGGTTTGATATGAAATAAAGTAAGTGTTGCTAATTTCACCCCCCTATAATGTAACAGAAATATTGAAAAAATACCCGTGGTTAGTCCTTTGCGATTACAGAATTACAAGTTTTAGAAAAAAAATAAAAACTCAATTTTAGTCACCACTTTTTAAGGGTGATATCTCGAAGAGGGGTGGGCTGAGGATATTTTGTTATAGGAAAGACCCATCTTAATTTCATACGAGCAATCAGTGTCTGAATTTTGTCGCATGTATTTAGAAACACCCTGTATATTACACATTTTTTTAAGCGTGCAACATTCTTGACAATCTCTTTTCCCTAATTGGCACATGTCGTATTTTTCTAGGATTTACTAACTCTGGCAGCAAACAAATAAAATAGAAATTTGTCAGCTGTGCATTTTTGCCTTCCAGAATTTTTTATTTCATAAATTAACTAAAAACTAAATTAAACAAAAACCTAACAACGCCTCAACAACAAACTAAGACGATCACAATAATTTCGCACCTCTTCAAAAACAACTACCTATTTTTCGACACAGGAATTAAAAAATTTAACTAAACAGCAGCTACCCTTTTAACCACGGGCTTCAAAGACTAGCAGCGTTGCCATATTCACTGGTATCATTGTTTTAATAGAATTAGTATCGGAATGAAAACTATGTTAATCTTCGGTCCTGTTTAAAATTGGTAATCTTTTTGAAAAAAAGTTATTTAGAAAATAGTTAAGATATTTGTTATAGAATGCCGGTAAAGAGCCAAAAAATTAAATTTGTTAAAAAGTTGAAATTTTTGTTGTTTTTCTTTAAAAATATAAGTTTTTCGCGGTTTAGCGAAATTCTTGGTTCATTTTTACAACGATTGGCCTGAACCATTTTTTTTTACAATTTTTTTTAACTGCCTCAAATGTAAAATTGATTTTTGGTGGAGGAGCGCCCGTCATGTTTGCTCTTAATAAAACGAAACTTTCATCCATTAAACAGATGGGTGAAGCAACCTTACTTCGGATCTTAGACTATAGGAATCCCTGTCCTGGTAGAAATTAGGAATGATGTCTAAGGGTAAGCAACTTTATATACACATTTGTATATCGGGTTATTAAGGTAGATGACAGTGACTAACTACTCTTTATCATAATAAAATACATTAAATACCGACACAAATTAAAAGTAATGGTTACATCGAATCTAAACAAATACCGTAATTAAGATATAAAAAATATGCTGCAAAACGGAACAACAATAAAACATGTTTTATAAGAGATGCAGCTTTATCAATTTTAATAAATCCATCATAATAATCATAATTATTATTAATTGCTTTGGATAATTCTATTATCAATATTGTTTAAGTTTGCCAACTTGCAAATGAATGTATTTAAACATTTTATCAATCTCTTATGTTGTTAATCCTCCAATTATTTATATCTAGGTAATAATCATTATAGTTACATTTGTTTTATTGGAAAAAATCTCGAAATTTTAACCACAATGTTTTATAAAAAGTTCTGCATGGTCTAAAACCTATAATACAACCATCAGATATTAATTCTTTTAAGCCATATATGATATTTTCTAAAAAATTAATTAGTTTCTTTAGTTTTTATTTTGTTTGGCATTCCTCATACCAAAACCCATTTTTTTATAGTGGTTCATAACGTCACTAATTCTAACAAATGGGGTACCATAAATTACATTAACATTTTACCCTAAATAGGTACATCTTTTCATAAGCCAATTAGAAAAATTTTAAAAAATACGTCAATTATCATGATAAAACTAACAAAATCTTGAGAAAAATGCGTTTGGGTATGAAGAATGCCAAACAAACAAAAAAACAAACCAAAAAAAAATAAAAATAATTTATAAATTAGTGGTATAACATAAAGAGTATTGGCACTTCAAAATGTTGAGAATATCGTAACACACCTAAATAACGTTATTGTTACAGCACATACTTTCATTATATTTTTTTTATAGTAATACCTATTATAATTGGGGTATTATCCAATCTCAATAAATTTTTATGGTAACCCTATACCCAGACAGCACACCAAATCCTTTGGATATCTACTGAACATCCCAATATCCACTGAATGTCCAGTCCATGGTGGATATCTATTTTATATCCATGAAATGTAATTTATAGACATACAAATGTCCATAAATAATAGTAATTATATAGCAAATTATTAAAAAATTACGCCATTGTGGCTAATAGTACCGTTCAGATATTTAAAATTAATTTTTTTAAGGTTTATTCAATATCCCATGGACATCCACATATATCAAAGTCTTAGCGCGGACGCAAACCATCGTGGATATCAACTAGATGTAATTTTTGATTTTGCTTCCTAAGTATAGATGGCGATACCACTTTCGTATCTACTCATGCTCAACCTGCCATAATTGAGTTGATCGAAATTTTATTCGCATTAAGACTCTATTAGAGACTGGAGTCGAGAATTTCCATTTATTGCTGAAGAGTCCTAATAAGGATGACTTTTTCCTTAGTGGGCAAACTCAAAGGCAGATTGTTGGAAATATTTTTTATCTCTATTTTCTTTCGACGTTATTCAATAATCATTTGGTTACTTATGAATGTCTACTAAAGATACCTATAAAATATTTTGCTGAATATCTGAATTCTATATCCTGGGATATAGACGGACATTTGGTTGGATATCCACAAAATATATTCTGTGGATATCTCTGGGATTTCTTGTATTGTCTGGAAGATACTAATTAGATATTTTGCTGAATATCCATAGGATATCTTTTATATTCTGGATATATACGTACATTTGGATATCCATATTAGATCCACGGAATATTTCTGATATCCTGTGGATATATTGGATATCCACAAAAGATATTCTGTGGATATCTCTGGGATTTGGTGTGTTGTCTGGGTATACATTAGAGGAAATAAAAGAAAATGCAAAATATTTTTAGTTTATTAAAATTGTTTAACGGTGTGAAAGCAACCAAATATGTTATGTCTAACCTACAGGATATTTGGTTTAAATTATTATAAGTTTGATTCATTCCCCATTTATGGACTACCCTGTATTTTTAAGAATAATTGTAAAATATGGTCGTTATAAAAATGTCTTCTTATCTTCTATAATAAAACAGCTATCGATCAATTACGCACTGATAAGGTACCCAGTATATGTACCCAGAGAGCACACGACATCCATTACTTCCAAATAATGTCCTGGATGTCCATGAACTTCATATGGATGTCCATTTTTAATTAGCCAATGGATATACCCATTTAGAAGTCCAATGGATGTCCAAAAAATGTCCATGATGGACACTATTAAAATGACAAACTTATAATAAATTAATTTAATTCTTCTAGTATAATTTAATTATTTACAACTAGATTTTAATTAAAATAAATCAATTAATTTTGGCTTTACTAAAAGCTAACTAATATGCTGCAAATTCCAGATGATCTCAACACAATTATTATTGTAACTAAGAGGTGAAAATCCTTCCAAAGCAGAAGAAAAAAAATCAAGTTTCTGCATGAGACGTTAGCAGAAGTAAAAGGCCATTTAGAAGATACAAATATTTTTAAAGATGCTGTACGTTTTACTTTTATTAAATAAAATAGAATTGTTTTGTAACGTTTAAGAAATAATGCAATGAAAGTGGTTTCATAAGTTATTTCTCTTTAATATTCACAAGTAACATATTTTTATTGCAATTTTAGATTCAGCAATTACCAAAACCAGGGTCAAAGACATGTACGAACTTTCATGGAGTTCAAATGGACATCCAGGAGTCAGACATTTGTATAGTCCAATGGATGTCCATTGGATGTCCTTCGGTAAAATGCTGGACGTCCTTTGGACAGCCGATTTGTCCATCAATGGACTTCCGATGGATATCTAATGGATTGACTTGTGCTGTCTGGGTATAATGGGCAAAAATGTCAGATAAATTCATAAGGAATTTAATGCTGCAAGAAAGTGCATTTGCAAATAATTGGTAATGTTTTAAGAAGCACAAGCCTATTGATGTCTGACAACGTTGCGGGTCTAGTAATAAGCGTTACGAGTGGCAATTTATACACAAACGGGACTAAAATTACGGTTCCGTAACATCGAGTAAATCTGAAATTTCACCATATTCGAAGGGTTTGAAATTATATTTCCAGTCTCATGAGCTTTATATTTAATTATTTAAATATACAGATCTATTGCAATAGCAAATATAAATATATAAAAAATAATTATTTATAATTAAGTTTAAGTTCTTTATTTAGTCAACGCTACTAATCGCTTGAAAGGCGGGTTCAATACAGTCATAAATGCGCAGCTTTACCTAATCCTAGTTGGCGCGTGCTTGCATACGATATTCATTTTAAAACAAGTAATAAATATTAATCTTTATTAATATATTTGACAAATAATTCGTAAATCGGTTTATTTACAAGCTCCTTGGTAACGCTACTAAAAATAAAATCTACATGATTAAAATCTTCGTTTGGCACAATATATAATGACTCCAAGTTTGGTAACATTTTAGCTAACACTCTAGCTCCCTGAAACAAAAAATATTTAGTTTATTAAACTCAACTTCTACAGCAGAGAGGTAGAACAACTGCGTTAAATAACAAAGAGATAATACCTTGATTTATACTTATATATACCTTTTGTGGAACTAAGAGGTCACCCTTTGCCGAAAATAAACTCATAGGAGACGTTATCTGTGACAAATTGTACAGTGGTGGTTTTTTCTCTCCATAATATTTTAAATTTTTTTTTGGTCCATAGTCATATTTACTAAATGTACCTGAAAATTTAAAAAATATAGTAAACTTATTGTCAATAAGAGCTGTGTATGGTACAAGTCAGTTATGACATGTATATTAGTCACGCTACCCACATAACATTAATGTTCTATGAATATACTAAGAACGTTCTGTTTATGTTCTTTTTGGTATGTCCTTTATAGCATATTCTTAGAACATACCTAGTATATACTTCGATATTAGAAGGTATATACTGAGTACGAGCTTTGAAAGTATATTCTAAAAAGTATATACTGAGCACCTACTATAACAGAACATTCTTAGAAGTTACTAAAAGTCATATACCCAGCATGTACCTCATATTCTGAGAACATTTTAAATGCTTACAGGTAAAAATTAACATCAAATACATGTAAAAAAAATGTTTATATACATATCTATATGAATGTTTTTTAGGTGCCGATCTGATAATTCACTAGCAGACGCACTAATGTTGAGTGTTCAGGCCAAAAATTTTTTGATACACGGTTGAGTTTGTTACTACTTGTTACATGGTTGTTAGCTTAGCATTACATTACAAAAATATATTTAAACTTTCACTAAACATAATAATCATTTATGCAACTCTTGTTTTTGTTAGTGGAATGTCATGTACAATTTTTATTGTTTTACGTTCGACAAAAATATTTAAAATATTCCATTAGTTATGTACACTCAATTTGTACCATGTACCAAGTTTATTGATTTTTTTATTTTTTAAGTTCAATTAAGATTCAATATAAGCAAGCTAATAAAACTCAAGCCATACATACAATAAAATGTTGATTGGTTAAGGCCAAAGAAAGAATTTGTAATAAAAGTAAGTGTGAATTTTTGGAAACAAAGATTTTCAAAATGTTCACGATTTTCATTATATACACGTATTCTTTGATGTTCAATATTAATAAAACATTCTGTATTATCCTAGTATCGGTTAAATTTAAATACTTAGGATATACTTAGAACGTACTATCCATTGAAAGTAGATACTTATTGCATATTGTACACATACTTGAAGTACATTCTTAGTATCTGCATAGCACGTATAAACAACGTCACGTAACATATACTTAGTTTATTCTGAGAATGTACTAACTGCATATTCATAGCATATGCATATTCTTAAAAAGTATATACTAAGAATATGCTAAGAATGTATAATTGTTATCTGAGTATTAATATTTTAAAGACAACATATTCGTTGAAATTGAAGCAAACAATTCTTAACACCCAACTTTTTTTCTTAGGTTAGAAAAATTCACATTATCGATTTTTCATTCGAAGTAATATAAGACATCACTTTAAATTTCTGTTTCTTAATGTCAACAAATACGTAACACGATGAGTTAAATAAAACGTATGTCTCGAATTAGCACGGGTTGCAAATTTCTGGTTATCACCACCTTAGATGGCGCCATCTTATCGACAGTACATTTTTAAATATAAACACAAGTTTTCTGGAATAATTAGGCAAAAATAAAAGAGTGTATTTTGCGTTTTAGCTTTTAAATACTATAAAAAATGGTGGAAAGACCAGAAATTTTTAATATTTGTTAAATATCACTTATTAAAATATTATTTGTTAAAAGTAAATAAATTATAGACTTTCCACCATTCTTTATTGTACTCTGAAAACATTTTTAAAAACAATTTCTAAAAATATTATCGTCAGAGCTGTATTTTTTGTGATTGTCATTGACAACGCGTTAAAATATCAATCTACAATCGGACTTAAGTGCATAATTTTTTAATAGGGAACTATTAGAAAGATAGACAGACAGATTAAATACTTTAGACGAATAGAATTTAGTAGATAGAGATTGTAACTAATATCATTATTTCAAAGAATGAAGGTTATTTATATCTCAGAATGTGATATATCCGTAAAGTAAAAGAAAAAGTCTTAACCATAGAAACATTTTTATTGAACAATAGTTGGTAATCTTTTTTTAACATCATCGTGAATAATGAAGAATAATTGAATTGACAATGTTAGAAATTACAATTAATATTGAAAAAGTAACACAGTAACAAGTGACAAAGGTGAATGTAGAATAATAAGCAATTAACTGAACAGTATACTAATAATGAAATCAGTAGGTGTTACTGAAGTAGTAAAATTATTTTATAATAGTCAATGAAGATATAACCCCTATAGTATAAATAAAAATTACGTACCTACATAAATAATTAAAATTAGTAAAATGAAGGAAATATAGATGTTTTAAAATACCGTGGGTAACTGTTCATGTCGTTCAAGTAATGCTAGAATTCCTTTGAAGATCCAATATATATTGAATGATACCAAGCTACTAGAACCACCATTGTTACTACGTTGAGGAAATAAAGGCACATGAGACGGTCTTGGATCAAAGATGTTCCCTATATAGCCGCCAACCTCTTCTAGGAGACCCGTGCTAAGGGAGACATTTTCATTAACTTGAAAACCAGCTTATGTATCAGTCAATGTTTTTTGATATCACTAGCCATCATATATATACGTCGAACAACAGTACGTCGCGATAAGTTCACTTTCTTAAACTCTTTCTTCTTTTCTAGGTACAAAAGTTCTGCAACGTCTACTAGGCACTCTTTAACAAACTGTTCCTCAGAAAATTACTCCCTAAATCGGTAATGAATTTTTTAATTTAATTTGAAAGCTGCTTAAATTCCATCAAGAGTGGGATACCAATCGCAACTGCGGCTTTAACTTTTGGTGTTCCAAGAACAACCCTTATTGGCGAAAAATTAGAGGAAAATTTCCAGAAAAGTGCAAAAGTGGTGTCTCTTCTGTGTTAACAAAGCAAGAAGAATTTTTTTTATCGGATTGGATAATAAACTTGGCTAAGATGGGATTCCCTGTATTTAAAGACCAGTTATTAGACAACGTATCCCTATTGGTTAAGTCGGTAAATAAGAAACATACCTTTATCAATGATAGACTTGGCCAACATTGGTATGAAGGATTTTTAAAAAGAAACACCGAATTTTCTAAACGAACGGCCCAAAATTTAACAGCAATACGGGCACTAGTTACAGAAACTAGTCATAAGAGGTTTAATATAATCGAGGAACATTTTCTGCAGTCTGGCACCAAAATTGCTTTAATGGTGACGAATCAGCTTTTTTTCTGTGCCCAAAAGGAAATACTGTTTTAGCCAAAAAGGGATCCAAAACGGTTTACAATAGAGGTGGAGGAGATGACAAGAACAGTAATGATGACAGGTACCTTTTTAAATAATACACATTCCATTTGTTTTTATAAATAATAGGTAATTCTTCTAGGGAACACTTTTGGTAAGATTGCACCCCCTATGGTAATATTTAGCTGTGAGCCAATACCTAAACATATTGTTCAACAAATACTAGATGTTTGGGGGATTGGAAAGTCTGAAAATTGTTGGATGACCTCCGAGGCGTTTTTTGAATACATATTTAACGTATTTTATTCTTGGCTGGTCAAAAAAGAGATACAATTTCCTGTTATCTTATATTTGGATGGTCACAAGTCGCTCACTCACTTTCTTTGAGTGATTTTTGCAAAGAAAAATCTATAGTTTTAATATGTTATGTTGGGAATGGGGCGTTAATACACTGCAACCTAAAAGATCTAGTGTGTCTTCTTCTAATTTTGATAAGTTTACTACCGAATTCAACCCATATATTGCAGCCATTGAATGTAGGTTTATTTAGATCGTTAAAAATAAACTGGAAAATGGCAATTTTCAACTGGCGAACTCAACATGGGAAAAAATTCTTAAAAAGATAAAATTTTGCCCCTGTTCTTAAAATCACTTTAGATAATATTAACAATTTAAAAGACATTTTTGCTAATGCATTTAAAACGTGCGGTCTTTTTCTATTTAATGTAAATAACGTGAACTACACAAAAGTGCTGAATAATAATTATGCCGGAGCGGAAAGTGATCAAGATAAAAAAAAAAAAATGAAAATGCTGAAATCATTGGACATCTACGATTTTTAGAAAGTCATATTTCTATGAAGACAGTCGGTCACTTTTATAATTTCCAAGGAGCAAACTGGGACGGAAATGACTGTGACCAAAATTTGTACAACACTTGGTTACAGATTTATCTAAAGAAGAAAGAATAGTAGAAAACGTGGTGACGTGACGTTCAAGATGGCTTAGTTCTAGATGAAGGGTGGTAGATGTACCAGCAAATGACTTGAACAGTAAAGAAGAAATTGCTATTAAAGAAACCAATGAGAATACTCGTAAATTTATTAATATTCTAGAGGATATTCGTATACAGCCATTAGATATTAATATTGCTGTACAAGGAGAATACTCTTATAATATTACTGCTACTCGAACCATTTGTATCAATAATGAAAATATACTTCCAGAAATGATTGAGTCTACCTCTCAAAGTCCTAATGCACTAATTCTAATAAATGAGAATAATGAAAACACACCACCAGAAATGATTGAGTCTACCTCTCAAAATCCTAATGAGGATAAGGAAAATATACCTCCAGAAATAATTGAGTCTATCTCTTAAAATCTCAGTGCTATCATTATTGAAACTACTCCTTCAAGTAGAACTGTTAACATTCCAACTCCATTTAAGAAAGCGTTGTTTTGGCCTAACGAAAGTTCAGTTAGCAAATGAAAGAAGAGAAAAAAAAAGAAAAAAATCCAGCGGTGAGCATTTCCGATCAATGGAAGGAGTATCATACAAGAAAAGAAGAACAAAAACAACAAGAAGAAGAACTAAAGGAAAGACGAAAAAAAGAGACGAAAATAAAATTAAACGCGGAAGCAAACACCTGCAGAAGAACTTCCAGAAGGAGACTGTAGAAGAAAAACTAGAGAATGAAGACAATAAAAAAAAACTAAATAAAGAAGCGATACAAGTAGGAGATTATGTAATAGTCAATTTTGAAGGAATTTATTTTCCAGGTGTTGTAAAGAGTACCATGACGTCAAGTGGTGAAAATAAATGGAAATGGCCACAAGAAGATGATGAAATTTGGTATGATATGACGAAATTGTTGGTAGAATTGAGGTTCCATTAGAAGTCAACAACAGAGGTGTTTTTAAAGTTCCCAAAACAAACAAGTTCCGAGAATATACATTATAGTTTTTTACAACATAATTATTTTTATCAAAAAATAAAATCATGGTTCCGTACTTACTTATTCTTCTTTAAAACATAAAATTTAGCATGTCGAAAATAGGTACCTGACTCTGTCGAATTTAAGTCAGAACATGAGAGTTCTATGTCAAATTTAGGTTCAGATAAATACTCCGTTTTTATTTCATCTTCAAAATTGAGAAAATAGAAAATAAATAAATAATTTTTATTAGATCATCGAAAGTGTAAGTGATTTTTAACTCAACTAAACGTCCGAAACAAATATAATGCAGTTCAATAATTTAGCAAAATTGCTAAAACTGTCTCATTTAGGTACAGTTACCTTAATCGAATATCGATTTTAGTCATTATGAGTTGAAGATTACAGTGACATTTCACTGCGTACGCTTTATACAATTACAAATAAACAATGTGTACTAACTAATTTTTTTTCCGCAATATTTGAATTTTCTGAATCTCTCGCGGTCCGGATCGAAGCTGGTGGAGGGCTGGATCCGGCCCGGGGGCCGGGGGTTGCCCACATATGATTTAAATTATAGTTAAATATTACCTGAATCTATGATTTGAAGATAATGTAACAATTCTTTAAAAGAACACCCCGCTGGTGATGATTGAAGTACCAATTGAGCGTGCATCTAAAACAATAAACAAAACCTTTACGTTATTTGTAATCTCTGGCGTTATCTTTACGCATTTTATATAATATTCTAAAAATCACAGAACTCGCAAATCGATGTTTCGTGTTAAATAGTAGGGATGCAACGGATAGTTGATTGTCTATTTGGTCGCATAAAGGATAGCTAAGAGCCACATTCGACCGATTGAGTCGAATTACGTATTTATACGGGCCGAACTCTTACAACCAAAGACCAATTAGTGAACGGATAGTTTAATGCTGAATAGTGTCTGGTTATTGCAATATTCTAAACGGAAGCCCAATATCTACCATACAATCTTCAATAGGTATATTCAGGTATAATCGCCCTATGTTAGATAGTTATTGTTATGTGATCTGTTAATTATTCATTCACAGACAAAAATATTGCATATTTTATTTTAAGTCATTATTTTTATTTTGTTTTTTTTTTCTTGAGTTTTTTAATGCTAGATCCCTTACACTGAAGAGTTTTACATATGTTATAGCTAACTAAATTACAAACTGAAGCTTTAGGCTAAAGACACACACGGCTGTTTTCGACGCTACACCGCCGCGCGTACCGTCGTTCCTGCATTACTTTTGTGAATCGCTTCGTGTGTTTTGGCAGAGGCGGCCAGCCGAGTCGGCGGCCGACTCGGCGGAAACAGCCGTGTGTGTCTTTAGCCTTACAATAGATTCGTGAGGGAATGAATAAAAAAGTCTGAATTTGATTATAAGATTTAATTGGAAAGAGTAACAATAACGACAAGATAACAGTATTTTAGAACAAGATAATAACAATTTAGTACTTAGTATTACTTCCTCTAGCTCGATCAATAGCCTGCATGCACCTAAACATGGAGGATGCATTGTAGAAATTTGGCAACATGTTTGCTTGCAGCGACCTGTGGGATGGAGGAGTAGAACTAATCTTACTCTGTCGGTAATGTAGTTACCAGCAGTATTACCCATCAACTCTTACTTTGTCTGTAATGCAGTTACCCATAATTTTATATTTAATTTAAAAATTGGCGGGTTTTTTTAAAGGAGAATTTACTTTTGCAATTATTTTCTAAGTAATACGAAATATAGCCATACAAAATTTTGGTAGTTATTTTTTATTTTTAGTGAAATAAAAAACATGTACGTGTAGCTAAAATATGTTCCTCTAGAGCCACTTTTTCAAAATCTAATAAAATTTTGATGTCAATAAATCGCAAAATTTTGTTTTTATGAAGATTTCAAAAATTGAGAAAATAATTAAATAAAATTTCGGAATAGTGGCTCCAGAAAAACGGACATATCACTTTTACCTGAAGGTACATATTTTTCATTCACTAAAAAGTAAAACTATAGAAATATTTGTGGCTCTATTTCGTATTGTTTAGAAAAAGATAATTGCTTAAGTAAATTTTCCTCTTAATTATAATTAAAATTTTCCTTTTTTATTAGCTGTTTGTAACAATTATGAAATGCCCAATAAAAATGTAAAATTATATGACAAATAATTATGAGGGATAAAATAAATATCATACAAAGTTTTATATAATTATATTTACTAAAAATTCCCAAGAAAAATAAATAAAAAATATATCAAAGAGATGACAATACAAAAAATTATTTTTTATGCACTTCACCCCCATACAAGCGAGCTTATGCGAAGCAAGAATATCTATTATTATTATTATTATTATTATTATTATTATTTACTAAGGCGCTCCCGGACGTCTTATAAATGATTCTTTAAGAAAGTTACTCTAATATCACAAACATTACATTACTATTTCGGTACGTTAACTATCTTTGGCTAAGAAAAATCAGAAATTGCTCAACACATAATTAATTTACTTGATATGAAAACTAATGCCTAAGTAAATAAATTTTTAAAATAAACAAAAAACAGAACAACAAATTCTTCTTGAATCTTAGTAAATAAGACAAAAGCAACCATCCATATAAACTGAAACAGAAAAAAATTGAATGCAGTAATTTCAAATCATTTTGTTTTATATGTAAACCAGAGACGGCTCGTGGCCTAGACTGCGAGGAGGCTGGCTCACCCTATATACTTTATTCAAATATATATTTCTATTAGAATACAATGTAATATTTCTGCTTTTTGTATTCTTATAGACATATATTTTTATTAAGTATATAGGGTTTGCCTTTTAAAAGTAGTCTCCTCATAGACTAGGTCACGAGTCGCCTCTGATGTAAACCATTTAAAATCAACATGGTCTGGCAAAAAAAGTTTAATTTTTTGAATTATGTTGTCAATATGACCCAAAAGTGGTAAAACTATTTCATGAATTTTTGAAAGAAATTCAATAACATTTCTTTGTACATAAATAAAACGTCTTTTATCATCATTTTCTTTAAAATAAGTAAAAGTATCGATGGTCTTCTAACATGTCTGTAAATTAACTTTACACTCTTTGCAGTCAAAACTATTAAGTTTCTTAATAAACCCTGCAACATAACTAGTGGCCTGACTCAAATTCTGCTTCATTTATTAATTTTGTATATATTATTAAAATGAACTTTATCTTCACAGGACTCTGTTTGGAGGTGTGATAACAATATTACTAAGTACTACTATCTTTGGTGTATCTGGTTTTGAGGATGCTAAAGCAAGGCAAGGCAAATCTTTTAGCAGTCTTGAACGATTTGTGTTTGTAAACGATTTTGTATCAAAATATGATTTTCACATAATGTATAATGATTGGTTGTAAGTGGAATGTTTAAAATACGGCACCATTCCTTTTTTTGATCAATATCAGAAGGAAATTTAAAAATGTTTGTTCTTAAAATTTACGTTTGAAATAGGCCTTATAAAATGTACTATAACAATTAGAAATTATGCGTTTATAATGAATTCTGCCTGGTAAAGACATGTTAAAGCATCAAAATACCTTTACTTGATTTTAAATAATCCTAAATATCTAAAAAAATAAAAGTAGTCCCACTCACATGTTTTCGTCGGCAACCAAAACCATAACATAACCACACATTTGTTTGATTTTGATGCTATTTGTGTCAGCGGACAGAAAGCCATCTTCACATAGTACAAATAACTAAGTGAAGGCATGTTTTCTTTAATTTCTTGTAATATATGAATTAAAATTTTTGAAACAACACTTTTTGTGTGTTACTGAACGAGATGTTATTAAATTATTCGATGTGCTTTACAATTTTGCTATTGTAAAACGGACTTCAGAGCACCCAAGCGTGGAGTTGCATGCGCGGAGTTGCATGCGCAGAAACGTGTTTACGTATTGTGCATATGATATAAACCCCCGTGCTCCTAAACATGCTGCGCAGAAGATCTTGGATTGTTTCTTGCGGAATTCGATTCTATTCTTCCTGTGCTGTAATTCTTAATTCTGCAATTGAGTTAGGAGCTAGATTTCGTATATTTTGTACAGGAGGAGGAGGAGGTATATTATTCAGCAATTTTGTTGTTTGTGATTTGTTCCATATTATTTCTCTTTTGTTTCATTAAAGTTTTATTTTTGACTTACTCGGTGTTTGGATTTACTTAAATTTAAAAGAAACCACCAGATCGGTGTCCTTCAAAGCATAATGGAGCCGCCATCAAAGCTAACGTTTTGTACGAGATTACATTCTGCGAACCGTTCCCCAGACCTTCTGTATACTTGATCACGTCCATCTGGCTTTCATAATTGTATTCTTGTTTCATCTGTAAAAAGGATTTTTCCCCATTGTTGTTAATTCCAATCAGCATGGGCTCTTGCAAATTGTAACCGTCTGACTTTGTGACGCGGAAGAAGCCTAGGGACTCTAGCAGGACGTTTTGGATATAAACCGACCTCCCGCAGTCTTCTTATAACGGTTTTGGCACTTACGTTGACTTATCTATCAATAGCTAATTCATTTCTTAGACGCGAAGCGGTAAGTAAGCGATTTCGCAAGGATTTTATTCGCAAATGTTGTACATCTTTTACGTCCTTCACTAAGCCGTCTTTTGTATTCTCCAGTCTCATTGTATCGGTTCAATATACGAGAAACAGTCGATTGATAGATATGTAATCTCTGTGCAATATCTTGTTGTCTGCAACACTCACTGGCTAAAGTAACAATTTTAACAGAGTCTAAATCAGTTAATTGTAGTATCTTACTTGCCGAGAATACAGAAACAAAAAATACATCACTAGAAATGTCATTCTGCCAACAACAAATAAAATAGCAGTTGTTGGTCGGCAAGGCACGCTATTATACTTTCATGCTATGTTTGTAATTTGTAACACTATTACTTATTCAGTATAATGGCTATCTCTAAACAATATTTTGCTTACAATTAAATTAAACGTCAAATCTTTCAGTGCAAGGGATCTAGAATAAAAAATTCAAAAAGTCTTGAAAAAAAAAATAAAATAAAAATAATGACTTAAAATAAAATATGCAATATTTTTGTCTGAGTGTATTTGTCTTCAGACAAGGGTTGGACTGAATGCAATAACCATACTCTACTACTAGATTTTGAGATAGCTCTAGTGAAATGCTTGAGTCGACAAGTACAAGTCACATATGAAGCTAAAGAAAACCAACATGAAACTAATACAGCATTAATTAATAATGAAATAATGGCATATTATTTAGCTACTTTTTCTTGGCAGAAACAAAATAAAATGCAGTATTCCAATTTATTTAAAATGACAAAGGACTATTTACACCCGCCAGTAGTGTTTATAGCAATAATAATTTTTTCTGAAGATATGTATTTGAAACCAAAAGAAACCGCTAAAAGGGATGACATATTAATTTTCTTACATGACAAACTAAATCTACAAACTACCACTTCAAGGAGGAGAGTAGAACTCTTTAAACTTGCATTACTTTAAAATGAGATACCTATGTGCTTTTATTTAATTTTTTTAATATTGTGGAGAAATATCCAGAATTATTTTTTTACTTCGTATAAATAAATCTAATCATAATTTAGCGCTGGAAATGGATAGTTAAATATCGGGCCGAATATTCGGCAAATCGAATATTAAAAACTAGTGTAAAGGATAACATCAATAAAGAAATTTTTAACTTTAACAATTTAATTAACTAATTCTTTTTCCGAAAGATATAATACTAAGGACTCTTAAGGCAGAAGTACTGACTAGTTCAGACCCGTTAAACTAGCGGAACAATAAGAACAAACCCATTACTTTAATACTTGGTAGTTCGGTTCTAAATGATAGTGTAAAATATAGTTGCAACCATAAAAGGAAATTAAAATTTTTATAAAAAAAGTTTGTACTTACCGGATCTATTAGATTTTGGCTATTGTAATTGAAAAAATAAAGAATGAGATAACATAAATCAACAAAAATAGTCATTTCAGAGCAAAATGTTCTTGCCAAATTGTTTAAAAAATCATTAATTGGTCTTGCAAAGAGTACATAAAAGTCCAATGTTCTTGCTAGATTCTAAAAGAAAAAAAAAAGGCTTTAAATTGATATTCTAAAATTCCATTAACATTAACATTAACATTAATAAAGCTTCAGGACTTGTATATAGCTAGTTCTTAAAAATAATACATTCGAGTTTGGTATTGTTTTCACCAGTGTTTTTAACTCTCTTGTATTAGTAGTATCTTTTCAAATATCTGTTTTATCCAACCGATACCAAAAATTGAACAAAAATTATTCTGACCAATAACACGTTTGCATATAATCATATAGTGTTTGTGTCTGAAAAACAAACAATTTTTTTGTGCTATATTGAATTTTTCTTATAAGTACCAAATAAAATTATTTTTTCGAAAAAATTACAAAATATCTTACTCTAAATTACACAAAAATATGATTTACTTTTTTTCTGCTAATCAAGTAGTTTTTACTAAGAAAAATATAATAAATATCAATAATGTATTATTGATAAGCCAATTTAAAGTGTATAAGCGGCAGTCGCAGGTTCTCAACAGTCCTTTACCTACTATTTAAAAAGGATTATCTTCATTAGCCAATTCGGGTAAGTTACCACATTAGTTAATAATAATAGAGAATTATAATTATCCTTTATTAATCCTTTCAAGGAGAAATTCATAGTACAATCAATATTTAATTCTAAAAAGGATTATCTTCAATAGCTTGTTTGTGTAAGTTAGTATTTTAGATGCCCTGTTTATAATATATGTATATAAGGTTTAAAAAAGAAATACCAACGAACTGTAATCATTCTTATTTTGTCTTTGTACGAGTTTACATCATTGTAAAATTTGAAAATGCCGTTACAATTTGTTGACAGCGAAAGAGGTCATAAAATGCTTTTATGCAATGGCCATACACATTCTAGAGAAAACATTTCTGGAGAAAAAGGTATTTGGAAATGTTCTCTATATCATAAACAAAGTGGTTCCACTACTCAACAAATCATTGCAAAGGTTTCCGAGGGTTTATCATCATCGGCTGCAGCCAGATTACCACAAGTGAGTGCAATGAAAAGAACTATTCAACGAAAAAAGGAAAAGACAGAAGGAATTCCTGCGATTCCAAATTCTCTGCTTCAATTAGTTATTCCACAGGAATATACACTGACAAGCAGTGGTCAGTTATATTTAATGTACGACAGCGGCCCATCAGAAGATCGAATATTAGTGTTTACAACAGCAAGAAATCTTGACTACATGTTGGAGTGTGAACACTGGTACGGAGATGGAACTTTTTCAATAGCCCCTAATATGTTTTCCCAAATATATACAATCCATGGCGTCAAATATTCAAATACCATTCCAACAGTATATGCAATTCTGCCGAATAAAAGAGAAGAAAGCTATAGACGTTTATATGCAGCATTAAAAAATTTGAAACCTGAACTTTGCCCTACATCTTTTTTAATGGATTTCGAAAAAGCAGCGATGAATGCGGTACGAAGTGAATTCCCTAATACTCAAATTCGTGGATGCTTTTTTCATTTTTCTCAGTGTATATGGAGACAAATCCAGAAAACCGGATTTCAGAGGCGATATGTGGATGAAGAAGTGTTTTCATCAAATTTGCGACTTCTGGCTGCACTTGCTTATGTTCCTGAAGACGATGTAGAAAGTGCTTTTGATTTATTATTGGAAAGTGAATTATATGCAGAAAACGAGGACTTAGCAGATTTAATAAACTATTTTGAAGACACGTGGATTGGTAGATTAGAAAGAAGAGGAAGAAGACGGTTACCAAAATTTCCTATATCTTCTTGGAATTATTACAATGCAGCCAGAGAGGGAATTGCTAGAACCAATAATGTAGTTGAAGGATGGCATAACAGTTTCAATTCAATTGTTTCCATTGCACATCCCAACATTTGGAGGCTAATTAAGGCTTTACAAAAGGAGTAAAGCCTTAACAAATTGAAAATAGAGCAAATTGTGGCAGGTAATAAAATTACTCAAAAAAAAAATTTACAAAGATTCTGCACGTCGTTTAAAACTACTTACAGAATCCTACGACGCTCGTAATACCATGGAATATCTTCAAGGAATTGCGCATAATTTTCGAATGCAAGTCTAAATTATTTAATATTATTATATTATATTAATTCAATTTAAAATGTAATAACTAGCAACTACAATTTTTTATAATATATTTTTTTTCAATATACCTACTTGTTTTTTATTACTTATACTAAAAAATTTATAAAATAAAATTTTGATTATAATAAAAAAAATAAAATAAACCATAAAATGAATTCTAAAAAATGGCTGGCGACAAATTGTCGTAGCGGTGAATCGTCTTACGATGAAATGTCGGCTCTGAATTTTCGCGCGATGAAATGTCGGGCGATGAATTGACGTAGATCCAGGTAGAGCGACTCGCACAGGGATGTGGAAAATAGAGATGACATAAATTATAGATCATTTACCTTTTGATCTATGCATATAGCGATTGCATTTTGTTTCAAATTAGTCAAAAATTATGGAAAAATATTTACCTCTAATAATAAAGAATGCTTTCCTAAGACTCTTGCAATGGTTTTGGTATAGTTTAAAAAGCAAGTAGGAGCCAATTGAATAGATAACTTCACTTTCTTGTTGTATTCAGGTTTATCTGCTGCCATTGCCAAAAATGTTGTTGTCCCTTGCGAATGGCCTATATAAAATATTTGGGATGCATTAGAGACTCTAAGAACATAATCAATAATACTTGGTGTATCGTATATAGCCACCTCATGCCATCTGAAATCAAAATAAAAACGATATCTTAATGTCTTTCTTCTACGGCTACTATAAAACTAGACTTTTTGAACTATTGTTGATTAACAAATGTCTTACATTTCCTTATTTGATAATTCTGACAACAAAAAGTAATCATTTCCATATAAGATCCATATTTGATTGCACAAATTAGTTATTTCCTAATTATTTTATTAAAATCATGTATGCCATGAAATTTCAAATAATTATTTAGAAGAGAGCTGATTTGATAAATTATAAAAACTAATTAAAAATAGGTAGCAGCGTGTTATAGCAATAGAAAGAATATAGTGTTCAATTCGGAAGGAATGCTCATTTCCTACTCGTATCATTTACAGAATTTTCCAGCGGCTCATGCTGTATTAGTGTAAGAGCCTGACTACGGAGGGATAGGGGTGACTCGGGGCAGTGAAAATTTTATTATTTACAGGCTCGATTCTTAATGACATAGCGAGAAGCGAGCTGCCAGAAGAATAACGTAATTTTAGGGGGTTCAATATCCAATTTTTTATGTAAACTAATTAATAATTGGAGATGGTAAAAATAAGTAGGATAAAAATTTCTAGAAGACTAGGCGAAAAATGAAGAGCTGCCCGAAGACGCCCGCCAATGTTGCGAAATATTTTGCAAAAATTGTGTGACCTGTTACGGTCAAATTTACGTTTAGAACAAATCATTTAAATTTAATTAATTATCAATAACACTTAATATAAATAGGGTTTCGTTATTTTGATTCAAATATTTAGTTTTAATTAATTAAAGCTATTTGATTTGGCATTAATACCATCTGTCTTGCAGTTACGGAATTATATCCTTAAAATGAACGTTTAATTATTTTGATCGTAAGATATAAAAAACAATTTATATTAAAGCTAGTTTCCTCGTCTGTTAGGCTGTAAACTCGCGCTTGTTGCGATTCTGCTCTTCTATCGCAGATTTCTGTTACCTTTTTGATCGGTGTTGCCGCCTTGTTCGTATATTTTTAAATACTAATTAATTAATTTATTTTATGGTTTGGAATTAAAAATTTGGAAACTCTTTACGCCCATTTTGTAAATGTCTACGCATCAGTACAGACACAACATGCATATGGATTTGTTTGTGTTGATTTAATTTGTGTTAAAAGTTTGTTCAAGACATTTCACATTAAGGCCGCATAAGATCATTGGCCTTTTTCTATTTATGTATATATTCTCATTATTTTCACCTGGGCCATTCATGCTTTATTGAATAAATACATAATACATTTAATTAAATTTGGGACAAAACTGCCGTCTAAAAGGCTGTTCTGGAATCTAGGATAAGTACCTGATTTGAAGCCATATCCTGCTGTTCGAGGTAGCCCCATTCCTTTTTCTTGAACCTGATTTTTGGACGAGCTGATGTCCAGTATTATGTACAGATCGGGGTTTGCAAATGAAGAATAATAATTTCAATTCGTTGTGTATTTATTAATTATTTAACATTCAATCTATTTGTTTATAAGATTAGTTTAATGCAGAGAGTAATCTACCAAGGTCAATTATCAACTTATGGTCTTATCAAAAGAGGACTACCTCAGGATTCAATACTGGGCCCTTTGATATATTCGATTTATACAAGCAATATCCCGACTGTTCTTAGTGACTTAAAAATTTATATGTATGCTGATGATACCCATGTCTACTTATTTTTTTTGATAAAAATAAGTTTGAAGAAGCTAAAGGTACGATAAACTCTGAGTTGTCGGCATTAATATCTGCTTCTGAGAGACATGATTTGATTATTAACAGCACAAAATCGAATGTACTTTTATTTGGGAACATTATCTCTATAGAGCTGGATATTACAAATTAAAAATATACCTTAAGATGTTGTTCACAAATGTAAAAAAATGGGGGTTCGTGTCTGACATTAATAGACCAATAAATTACAGAAATTGCAAAACTCTTGCCTGAGGCTAATATAAGGTATAAGAAAATTTTATCCAATTTCACATACCTTAGAAAAGACTCATTGGCTCAATATGAAAAACAGACGTATTTTACACTCACTTGCTTTACTTCATAAGGTTATAATAAATAGTGTCCCACCTTATCTAAGAGATAAAATCAAATATCGGTCTGATATTCATAATATAAATATTAGAAGAAAAAATATTATTTCAGTCCCTCAACATCATTCCTCCTTATTTCAGAGATTCTTTAGGTACTGTATAACAAACCTGTGTAACCTGCTTCCAGACAATTTTAAAGCTATGTCAATGTCTCTCTTCAAAAAAAAATGTTTTCAAAGAAGTTTAAATAATTTGTTTTCCTTCAGATAAAATAAAATAAGTAAGTTTAATTTATTTTTGTTATCTCTGGGTATAATAACCTAATACTTTTATATACTTAGGTATATATTATATTTTTTTCCTTATATTTTTGTTTACAAACTTCTTGTGGAAGAACAGCTTTGCTGAACTTGTGCCTTTTAACCAAGTTAATAGGTTCTTGTGCATATATTAATTTTTATTTTTTTGGAAGATCATTAGCTTTTGACGAAATCAATTTGCACTTTCAATAATTCGTTGCCTCACTTGTTGTTCGTCAATTATTTAAACAAAATACACGTCCTCTTTCATAAAACTCCAGAAGCAAAAGTCAATAGGGTTAAGATCTGAACTTCCGGCTGGCCAAGAAATAGAGGTTCAATGCAACGTCCAGGGTACAGACCGAAAAGTTTTTCAATAACTTCGTTATCGAAATGCGCTGAAGGTCCATCTTATAAATACCACATATTTTGACTTATTCCTAAATTTACCACTTCCAAGTACTCTGATAAATTTTTTTGGAAGAACTGCAAGTAATTTGTACCATGTAAATTATTTAGAAGAAATACTGGTCCTATTAAATTATTATTCACAATGCGTATCCAAACATTGACTTTAAAAGTCTTTTGGTGATAGGTCACTTTTTTTGCATTAAGATTTTCTTCGGTCCATTTGTGTTCCTTATGGTAATTCGTAATGCCATTTCTATTGAATGTAGCTTCATCGGCAAACAAAAAATGACTAATAAAATTGATATTTCGATTGTTTTCTGTTATTCCATTCCTTTAGGACAATCTTCATTTAGTAATTCTCGAACGGTTATTAATTAATAGGGATGAAGATGCTTTTCCTTCAATCGTCTCCAAGCCATTATGTGACCAACACCTAATTGAGCAGCTATTACCCGTCTACTGCTTTCAGGGTTTTCTTTGACTAATTCTAAATCTCGTCATCATTTGTGTCCATTTTTGGACGATCACTATAACCAGCAAGTTGAAGACGCAAAATTCCCGTCTCCGGTAAACGAAGATCAATGGTAAGAAATAATTGTCTGTCTGGTGTATTCCCAGTGGCGTGCGGTGACATTTTTGGAAGGGGAAGCGATTGTATAAAAATACAGCAGCCCAGTAAGCACAGGCAAAATTTTTTCGCGCATTTTGTCAAAATCTTGCTTTTTTCCTCAGTACTACGGATATTCGAGATTGAGATTTTTGAAGTGTTACTATTACTTTATTACCTAGTTTAGTACTAGAAGCTATAAAAAACGTACCATTGAAGAGCTTCCTTGGTTTATTTAAACGTAAAAAAAATCATTTAACTGAAGTTTTTTTTTATTTTTTCCAGCATTTTTCGCACAGTTGACACAGCAATGGCTGCAAATTTGTCTATAACATCGTCGTAAAATTTTGGATTTTCTGATAACTGTTTAACAAGCTGTTTTTCAATGGATATTAAGGCTAAATTAGAGAGTCTTCACTTGTTGAATTTCGTATAAAACTTTTAATGCGTTTTAAAGCTGAAAAACTTCGCTCAACTGACGCACTTGTGGCTGGGATGGTTAGTACTAAATTCACACAACTTGACGACTTCACAAAGGGACCTATTTAAACCAGTTATTTTAAGAAAATTTAACACATTGATGGGCGTCTTTTTATCACTAATTTCAGTTGTTTCATGAACAACACTTAACTGGGACTTTATTGCTGGAATATCGAAAAAATTTCCATAATTTAATTTTAGTTTAGTTTAATTAGTTAAAGTTTTGAAATCGAGAGTTCACTTGTTGTAAAATATTATCAAAAATTTCGGCGTATAATCGACGATAAAAGGTCTCCCTGTCGCCGACATTTTCAATTCTAATTCTCTTTCTTTCAGGTTCTAAGCCAATATTTTGAGTCTTATTCCAAAAGTGTTCAAACTGATCTCGTTTTTTATTCATTTTATTTTTAAAATCATCAATTTGTTTAATGCAAAAGCCAATCTCATTTGACTTTGTCTGTAAAATGTCGAATAAAATGTCAGTAAAAGGGAAAATGCATCTGCAGTTCGTTCGCTAGTGACGTCCAAAAATCCTAAGAATCGCTCTTGAGGAATGCCATCCAATACATATCGCACAACAATGGATAATTGACTTAAGTTTGCTACATCTGTGGTTTCATCAAGCGCAATTAATACGAAAGGTGCTTTTTTAATTTTACTTTTAATGTGATCCATCACAACGTCGACAGTGCATTTAATTAATTCACTTTGGATTTTGTTTAAGGTACCTCTGAAAGTCGTCGAATCAATAAAATGATTTTTAGGGTATTATCGTATTTTACTAAACAACTTAGAAGGTCCATGTAAGTTCCTCGATTGGCGGATCCACTTGCTTCATTGTGACCCCTAAAACTTAGTTCACGCTCTCCCAGGAAACAAGTTACATCTATTATTCGTTGTAAGACGTCCCTACTTTTTTTACCCTTTCATTGTGAATTTTGTTGCTTATTTTTAAGCGATTGTCCAAACTATGTTTAATGCGATAGGTTCTGTAATTGTAGCACTTATATGAGATTTGCTATTTACATGTCGTTTTACACTTTTGTGAAAATTATTCAAGGCTGTAATACCGACTGAGTTCTAATGTGTTTTTTCGGCTACATTAAACAGTAGGCAAGGCAAGCAAAACACTTTCTTCAAAGTTTTGCAGCTGGTTAACCATTCATACTTTTTATAGAACCCTACGTGAAAATGCCTGGTAAAGGACCCCGCCCTTTTCTAATGGCAAAGTGGCGTTCCGTCAAATGTAATAAATTTTGAATATGATGTTGTACTCGACTTGTTGACCAAAAGTGTTTATGGGACCAATTCAATCCTATGACTAGTTTTTAAAATACAGGGTGTTAAAGTCGAGAAATCGTATTTTTTTGAAACTACTTAACTTAATTAAAAAGAAAAAATAAGCAATTTTAGTTGATTGTAGCATTAATATGCCCTAGTCTAACGCAAACGTACACATAAATAGTTCAAAATGTAAACATATACAGGGTGGTACTCAGTTACATCAGGGGGAATTTTTGAAATTCTGAGAGATTCTGATATGGAATGAAAACATGGTCAAAAATAAAAACTTACATAATGTCTACTGTTCTGACATTATATAAACCCATGTTACATTATATGTATACAGGGTGATTGTTAATTCATTCCACAGAAAGGCGTTTCTTAAAAAAAAATTACTCTCTGTATAATAGGGAATTTGTTATTAATATTGATTATGCATTTAATACCTAGAAAACAATACTTTTTATGGAATACAGGGTGATAGACACATATAATTCGTTTTAGATGCAGCAATAATTAAAGAAATATGCATTTTTCAGAATCATTCTATATTTTTCAATTCGATCTGTCAAAATGTACGAACTATTTATTTTTGTTATTAGCTTTAAGCAATTAATAACTTCATATAATTTCATAATTTTAGTATGATCCGTTTTTGAGATTCCAATATCATACCATTAAATATCAGTCAATTCAGGATATTCGTACACTGGGATTTTTTATTTGCTGAAAAATTATCGGGGGTAATACCACAAGAACTCAGATTTAGGGATATTTTTTGTGGTTATTTTCGAATACTTACTTTCATTGGCAATTGCCTAACAAAAGTAAGTATGAGAAAACCACTGTAAAAAATATCTTGCTAGATCTGAGCTCGCGTGGTATTTGGTAAGACCATTCCATGAATAGAAAAATCAATTCAATTAAACTTTATATTTTTTTGTATTTTTTTGGAGTTGATTTTTCAATCTCCTTTACTATTTCTGCCTCGCAAATATTAATAAATCTCGATATACTTATTGAAATATTACGAGGAATATTGATTGCTGTTTAATTCTGTTTTTGATCTTTACAATTATTGTTAAACTGATGCGACGCGCAACGCTTGATAAACGAACAAGTAATGCCAGCGTTGCTACGGTAACGTAATTTATCCGATATTTTTATCCACTTGCATTTCTGTTTCTTTCTATTTAGCCTTTAGTAAACTACGATTTTTGTAATCAAAAATGGAAATTATTATACCTATATACATGAGTGGATATGTCTGATATTTAATGGTTCACTAGGTATATTGGAATCTCAAAAACGGATCATACTAAAATTATGAAATTATATGAAGTTATTAATTGCTTAAAGCTAATAACAAAAATAAATAGTTCGTACATTTTGACGGATCGAATTGAAAAATATAGGGTGATTCTGAAAAATGCATATTTCTTTAATTATTGCTGCATCAAAAACGAATTATATGTGTCTATCACCCTGTATTCCATAAAAATTATTGTTTTCTAGGTATTAAATGCATAATCAATATTAATAACAAATTCCCTATTATAGTGTAATTTTTTTTTAAGAAACTCCTTTCTGTGGAATGAATTAACAATCACCCTGTATACATATAATGTAACATGGGTTTATATAATGTCAGAACAGTAAACATTATGTAAGTTTTTATTTTTGACCATGTTTTAATTCCATATCAGAAACACTCAGAATTTCAAAAATTCCCCCTGATGTAACTGAGTACCACCCTGTATATGTCTACATTTTGAACTATTGTATGACTGACTAGTACAACATCATATTCAAAATTTATTACATTTGACGGAATGCCACTTTGCCATTAGAAAAGGGCGGGGTCCTTTCTTTTCTGACTTTTCTACTTTCGTCTCTAAATTGATAGGATCCTTTAGTCTACTAGAATTAATAATGTCCGTTTTCTCTTCAAAATTTCTACTTGAAAATCCTTTTTTTCAATAAAGAGTACACAATACAGACACAATTCACCACATTATTATTGCTCACAGGCACAGTGCATAGTTCTTCTATTTTACAAAAAGAAAAACAACTACGAAAAACAAACCGAAATCTATCTGAAGTCTACGATTTTCCTCACACATCGATTCGCGGTGCGAATTGCAATAGGTGTAAGGCGACGTAAAAATCGCTGCCTCTCGACCGTATTTTACGTGCCCAAATAGACTGACTATTGTCGCGGCAAGCGAAATCAATTGGAACATGAGCGGGCTTTTCAAGGGGCGCTTCGCCTACGGACTCGAAGTATATGGTGTGCGTTTACACAATTAATTTTCTCATGAGTGGTGCGTGCGTTTACACATTACACCAATGAATTGTTAGTTCGTTTACAAAGTTTACGTAATGTTTCAGAGAAAATATAGTACCTAATTTAATATTAATTTCTATGCATTGTAAATGAAAAATATTTATTTTTAAATCTCAAAGTGTAGGGAAGCGGTGCTTTCCCCGCTTCCATGGACCGCACGCCCCTGTGTATTCCGATTGGGATTTTCCGCATAACGCTTTGGCATTCACCGGTAATTACTAGAATTACAGATAATTATCTGAAACCTTGTTTCAGCCTGACCAAACTTACCGAGAATTAAATGCATATCTGCAAGTTCTGCAATTGTGTAAACCGTTGTAACCGAAAGATTAATTTTTAAAATGCATAATAATCGAAAGCTTCAATTAACAGTATGCAATTGTTAAAGCAACTATTTGTTATTTATCCGTAGAAACTACAAGTGTTGAATGGATAACTTCAAAATGTTTAAAGGATAATATGAAAGAGGCCACATGTCGATAAAAAATGGCTTCTTGAAAAAGTGCTAAGAGGCGAAAAAATGTCAAAAATGATGTATTAAACCGATGGTGTCACAATAAGAATTTAATTGTAACGCATAGAAAAGTTTGGGGGGTTAAAGGGGAACAAAACCTCCCTATATGAAAAAGATGCTCTTATGATGAGAAAGTCATGTATCCATTTTCATTACAAAATGTTAAACACAGTTCATGAAATATTGAAAAAAAATTCATTTTTACTTCAACAAATCTAAACGCCAGATTCAAAAAAATAATTTCCGTGTACAGATTTTACAGTACACTAAAGCGGTCCGATAAACAGTTAACCAGTTAATCATATTATGCAATGAAAATCCAATACTTATCTACTATGTTAGCCTTGTCTATTTATTTTTCTATCATTTAATTAATTGTACCTACTCGCTACTAATTGCTAGTCAGAAATGACTCATTTGCTATAATAAATATAACAAATTATTTATTTTTTTGCCATAACGAATTTAAAAATAAAATAAATTCTAAAAAAAAAAAAACAATATTTACAAATTTAACTCAATAAAGATTTAAATAAATTCCGTTTTCATGTCAAACAAATCGTTTCAATAACTAGATCAATGGTGAAATATTGCTTTGATAATTAAAAATAGATTACACTTACCCAAAATTCCAAAATTTTCTATCCTTTTCAGGATTTAAAGTTTTATGCTTTCTTGCATGTCTATTGCCTCTATTATTTGCTAACCACACGTCAAATCCTTTATCGGATAAATAAAATCCAATAGCATGCTCAGGACCCGTAGCCACAAAATTTTCGGAGCAACCACAGGTTCCTGGAAATAGGATCACTGGATATTTATGTACTTTGGTAGAATTTTTCCCATGCGGTATCCTGAAGATAGTTATTATGTAACCATCTTCTGTAATGATATCGTGAATTTCTACAGGGTATCCATATTTTGTTAAAAGTTGTGGCTAAAATTAACACAATTTGAAGGTAAATTTTAAAATTAACATTTTCTAACTACTGCCATCATTTGGTTTGCCTGAAAAGCCTTCCAAGTTGGTCAAATTAGATTCTCTTTAAATAAATAATACTTTTTTATATTTTTTGATTTTACAATAGAGCTCAAAACACTTCCATTAGTGGACGCTGGAGAAACTTATAATCGTTGGCATCAGAGTAACAACAAAATAAGTAGTTTCAAATATTTGAAGCAATTTTGTTAAATTATTAATTTATGAATAGTCAAGTCAATAAAAATTATTATTAATATGATTGTTAACGTAAAATGAGCTTCAAGACAAAACAAATCCATGCTCTGAACATTTTTAAATAGATTTGTTGGTCTATAATAATTTCCTACTTTCAGACTAAATATAAATAACAATTATTTTAAACTTACAATATTAAGACCGGCATCTGGGTGGACCTTAAAAATTAAACAATCCACATAAAGTAGTTTTAAAATTAATATGTACCCTAATATTAACATTGTTCCAATAATCAAATCAATCTGCAGTAAATTTAAAAATTGAAAATAGTACTTTATTAAAGGTAACAATTACAACGTTGTAAACCTTGGTAAATTATGTAATTCAATACAAATTTTTTTATTGTTTATTAGCTTCCTCGAAACTTACCTTGAATTGATGAATTTTAAAGCATCTAACATTTATAAATAAATGCAATAAAATATTTTTTCTAAATTTGATATAAAGTGAAATTTTTTGTAATCGCAGCAAGTGTCAAAATTATATACTTTACGCAACCAGTTGCATAATTTTGAACATTATGAAACTGGTTTCGAAAAATTCATTATATCACCAGTTTCGAAAAGAAAAGAAATAAAATTAAACCTTTTTAGTTTTAAAATCATATACATTATTATTAAAAGTTTATATCTCGACGACATTGTCAACTACATTAAATTTCTAGGCTGGCTGACGAGCTAAGAGCTATCAATTTAGGAGGATGCACAATGGGCCTAGTGAGGCCTAAGTCCAATGGGATAACCCACCCTTCACATATTACAGATATATAAACATTTAACGGGCAAGACTCCTAATCTTGTTATATCAACAAATTTTAAATTGGTATTTTTCGTTATTCGCTCCGTGCATGACAGCAGCACCAACCAATGCATGAACTAAGGGGCGATATTTGTGTATATTGATGGAATAATTTTTGGTTTTATTAAAAGTATATAGATTTATAAAACAAGTGAAAGATTTATTTTTATTATTATCTTCTATATTTATATAATCAAAATGCCACTGACTGACTCTTCACGAAATCTCCAAAACAATAAGCCCGATTGACTTGAAATTTGGCAAGGTTATTCCTTTCTAGACATAGAGACCCAATAAGAATGGATTTTATACACGTAACATATTAATTAGAGGAAACGGGGGTAAAAGTTCAAGTAGATATACTAGATTTCTTCTAACGCAGGCATGTGCAGACTACCCCACGAGACATGAGTTTACGTTAACGAAGGCATATCCGCCTATTCATCGCTAAGATATCTTACCAAAGCGACATATACAAAATGGCATATAACCTAAGGATGTTGAAGAAGTCTCTTGAGATTTAAAGACGAAGAGGAGACTTGAAGAAACCTTTGGAGACTTGAAGAACTAAAGAACTAAACTAAACTAAACTAGCAGTGCCATGCATTTAAACGGTTTATCTTATATATTAATTTATATAAGTGGTTTCCTGCAGCACTTTGCCTCGGTTCTGGTAAAAGCTTCTATGATTAACAATAAAGTTTGCTTTCTACTCCTAGGAATATATTATACTATAATGAACATTTTCTGATTAAAGAAGGATAGGTTATAAAAAATACAATGGAAAAACAAAATAAGAAACTTTATTTATTTTCTTCAGCATCGATTTTACTTTTGAGTTTGTAATCATAATCGTGAAACATCTTAATAGTTTTTTGATAAACTAACTTTGTAGCGTTCCTTCCAAAAAGAAAATCTATGTGGTTGAAGTTCTCGAATTGAACTTTTTCATATAAATAAACATTGGGAAGTTCCTTAATTGTATCGTCCGCTAGCTAAAAAACAATACAAATTTAATATATTTATATATAAATAGCAAAGACAAAATGGTTCAGTACCATTTGCTCTTCTGTTTTTGAACCGATTTTCTTTTTTTTTTGTTTAGTAGAAATTGACAAGCTTCAGTGTTATCAATAAACGAAAAAGAAAATGACCCCTCTCCCACTTCTCCCCCTCTTCTTTTGTCGCGCCTAAATGATAAGAAATAAAAAAAAAATAAAAGTAAGATCACAAACGCCTGAAACAATTTCCCCCTCATCCCTACTGTTGAGTCCTTCTCGTTGATTTCTCCAATCAACTCCAACACACTCGTCAGGAGAGAACGTTTTGGTCAAATCAATTTGCAACTTTACTTTTAACTGTATTTATTTCACAATAAAATACCTTTCGGTTGTTGTATATCACAATTAACAATAACTTTAACAATAACTTAAACAATAACTTTAACCACTTAGAGTGGTTGAGGCAGTGAATTGAGGAAACCGATCTAAATTAGCAGAAATGAGTGTGTCTCATGGATATGGACGTCCACTCTCCTCGAAAGATTACATTACAATTATTAATTTGACCCTTTTATTATAATTTCCGGCTCTAACCAGAAAAAGGATGTTCCCCTCTTACTTTATTAGGCGCAATATTTAAATTATTACACCTAATTGGCTATTGCATCTGAATCATTGTAGGGGTGGTTATGCCTTTCCCAATCTACTATTATGCAACCAGTATTACACCTAATTGTACATGTGGTTGAATTTACAATACTAATATTTTGGACGGTTTCGCAATACCTACTTCAACCCCTATTCCAGGGGAGGTCGATATATAGAACCCCCAGACTTAGGAAAATTAACTTCGGGTACGATGGATTAGAAATCAGAAAAACAAATTCACTTTCCAAAGGACAAGTCACTTTATCCTCCTCTAAATGTAGGTGGGGGTGAATTCCCCCCTTCTCCTAAGTGTAGGTGGGGTGATATTTTGAGATATTGGTTTTATAGATAATTAAAAAAATTAGAAATCTTCGAAGAATAGACCGTCCTCCTTCTCCCCCACTCCTTTTTTTTAAATCTTTTCTGGGTTGTTAATGATTATTTTCAATATAGTTCATAACAGAGTGCAAGCTAAAGTCGGATAAAGCAGAGATATGAGGGTTACCCACACCCAACCCCCCTTTTTTAGGGGCCTCGCAAGAGTAATCTCAAAATAAAAATTCACAGCATATCAATAAATGAGGGTTTTTAAATTGTGAGTTACTGTTATTTTATTAAATTTATTTTATATTTAATTATAATGGTACTGAACTATGTTGTATTGTAAGTTCACATAAAAGTTTATGTGATAAACGAATAACTTTCCTCAAATTTCCAATAATGATTATGGTCGAATTTCGACCACTGGAGAGCACTAGTTCTTTTAAAATATGAATATACAAAGCAAAAAATAAAATAAATTGCGGTTTGATCACGTGTCAAGACTGTTTTAGATTACAAAATTTCTTGTACAAGATTTAATACAATTTTCCTTGTATAAATATAATAAATACACTAAATTGTTTGAAAAATTAGCTTTTTTTTAGATTTTGCCTCGATTTTATGAACTGCATGACGACGTGCGGCTTTTTCTAAATGACAATAAATTTGTATTTTTTATTTGCACTGAACCTACAATTACTAGGCAAAAATATACATATTTTTTGAAAATGAAGAAAAAAATAGAAACCACTGTAGAAAAATTACAAATTTGGACTGACCGTGTGAACAATTAGCTTTTAATTAGTTTTCTTCTTTATATTCTTCTTTAAAATCCGAGGAAGAAAATCTGTCACAAGAGATTAAATTTATAATTTGTGAGCATTTGCAGAATCTAGGTACAACTTGTGAATATTTTTCATGAAAATTGCTGGATTAGAAATCCGTTTGCTACCTCAAGAATTACTTAAAATGCAAGTCTTGAAGAAAAACTAGATCAGCTCATGACCTGTCTTGTAGCAGTTCTAAAAAATCTATTTTTAAATCAGTTTTGGATTAAAATTAATTCTGATTGCAATGAGCTCCCCGAAAATGTTACAAAACATTTAAATCCTTTCTGCATATTGTATTTATGTAAACAGGCTTTCTGTTAATGTTCTGCTAAAATCAGAACAAAGAAATCGACTGAATGTTGCTTTAGATATAAGAATAACTATTCCAAATATTAGACTTGATTTTCAAAAAGTTATGAATAAAAAAACGGTTTTATAGTATTATATTTAGACATTGTATTTTTTAAATTTTGTATTTGTGGCGACATTGCAAGCACCACATAGTCTTACCTTTAGTTTTGACTTTTATGTCATTTTATTTGATGTTAACCAAATGTCAATGTGAGAAACCGACGTTATAATAAATATAACGCTACGATCATAGTTCCTGTGCGCACTAGCGCCCTACCTATTTGAACCTTGGTTACGATGAAGATAGAAACAAGAAAAAAAAAAAAATCAGAAAACAAGACAAGACGTACCTTTGACACAACATTTTTTGTATAACGCTTTTTTATATTTTAAAATAAAATTATCTTTATTATTTACTTACATCCTAATTTCCTGCTTATCGATATTGCTACCAACAGTAAGTATTTATAAAATGTTTTTAGTTAAGAACAACAAATTTAAAAAAAGACAAAAAGGTTGGATTATTTTTATAAACGAAACTGTTCGAGGAGGTCTCTATAATACTATTGCATAATTTTGGTCTGTGACTTCTAAGAATATTGGATATAGTGTCCAATATATAATTATTATTAACAAATATTAAGCATTTAAAAAATAAATTATTAATTAAATAGGTAGTAAATTAAACAAGAAATATTTCTATTAATGATTTTGTGCAAATTTTTTTTTGGTGAATGCAAAAAATTATTGACTTACCTTTATCGTTCCCAGTTCGTCTTTTTGGGCATAAAAAAGAATAACTGGTGATGTAATCTGTTTTAAATTATAAAGAGGTGGTGTTATATTTCCATATATTTTCATATTTATTGTAGGACCATAATTATACTGACCAAAACGACCTAAAAATCATTAATTAAAAAATGCAATATTTATGAATTAAAAAATGTAATTGAGAAAAATGTTGGTGAATAATTTATTATCAGGAATTTTTGTTGGCGGGTTATTTGTTATTAACATTGCTGTTTGTTAACTCTTTTTACTAATATCTTTACTTTATTTTCAGGTTATAATAGCTATTTGTATTACTAGGGAGGAAAGTGCCACTTTTCCTCCCGCAGGATGAAGTTTACTGCCCGACGCGAAGCGGAGGGCAGTAAACATTCAAGGGAGGAAAAGGCACTTTACTCCCAAGTAATACATATGATTTTTCCGCCTCCCTCAAATAACGGATGACGAAAGCTCGACAACATGAATGCTGACCGAAGACTTCAATGTGGGCCCATAGATAAATTAATATTAAAAAATAAACCATTTAAATGCACGGCACTGGTAGCAAGTAGTTAGTTTCGGCCATACTATTTGGAGCCACCATCGCAAATAAGATGAAAGCGATGTTGCCAGTTTCCATAAAGTTATTTCAAACGCACAAGCTGCACCTTATTTTGTTCTTGTCGTGCTCGATACCATCCATGTAATGGCCATACTATTGCTGGGATATTTTAAAGAGAGGTTTGACAAAAAATGAAAAACCGAATGGCGGAACGCGAAATGGTCAAAAAACCCACACAAAACCATCATAAAATAATAGTATAATATGCAACGATCGTGTATTAATAGCCATCACATGAAAGTTGCATACACTATTTTTTCTACGACCTAGAAACTATTTTAATTCAACAACATTGCTTTATTTTTTAAATTTTTTAATACTTTTTATACAAACAATAAGAAATAAAATATAAAAGAAAAAAAGAGTTCTTCGACTTAATTTTTATTCCTACACAATAACCAATACAATTACTATGATGATACATTTTTCGCCTTTTCAGCGATTTCAGGTGGTGTGCATGTGCAGGTACCTATCTACCTTTTTGATCAACGCAAAAGATTGAAACTGTCATAAAACACGAAACTCTTAGAAAGTGTCAAAGATTCTACAGAAAATATTGAATCTGCCTACTTGGTTATTTAAAAATCTAGATTTCTATTGGTCAATTTTTTAGTTTTATAATGCAAACCAGTGATACAATGAGTATCATTATGAAATTGAAAGTGAGCATTTAATTAACAACTTATAGTACAGGAGTAGAAAAAATTGTAGAACAAATTTCTACAATTATTGATTTTTCTCTACAATAAATAGTACATATAGGGACAGGGACAATTTGTAGTAAAAATTTCCAAATATTTGTGGAGAATGTATTGTAGAGTTATTATCTATAATATTTAGTAAAAATATCCAAATGCATCATAAGAATTGTTATACAAATTGTAATAATTTTTGCTATTCATTGTATGAATTTATATTAAAAATGTATTGCGTTTTATGAAAATAAATATGAAAATTTTACACAATAAATAGTAAAAATTCATACAAATTGTAGTAATTTTTAATAAACTTTGTAGTAGTATTCCATAATTATTATAATTATAACCTAGAAAAAAATATTCCTTAATAAAATATTCAATTTATTGTTTTAATATAAAAGATACAAAGCCTTAATTACATTATGTAATAAATAACAGTAATAATAGCGCCCGCAGTCTCAGTTGGCTTTTCTGCACCTGAAAAATATGAAATAAAAATTAATACCAATTGAACTGTTCATACCCTTAAAACGGGGATATTTATCACCTTTACACTGATTTGGACATTAAATGAATAAGTCAGATAACTAACAAAAATGAGAAAGTAGGTATGTCACAATTAAGACAAAAAAACATCATTGAACTTGGCACAAAATTCGATCGTTGGCCACAACTATTTTTTTTAAATAATCTACTAAGGTTATTTAAATTAGTTATCTAAAGGTAAATTATTCAGAAACAATAATAAATGTACTTACCACCAATAGAATTTATTATTAAAATTTTCTCAAACGCATCCTTGCTTATAATATAATGTGTTATAGGTACTCGTATATGTACCATGCTTTGTTATGTGAACATGGCGAACGGCTACTGCTCTCTGGCCATTTATGATCGACGTCAGAAAACGTTGGCCAATAGCAGAATTCTGTTTTGTTCACGTGACTTAGAATTTATACAATATTATAGAATATTTTTCAACAAAATTGAATTTTTTTCATAAGAAGGGATGTAAAGTATTACTATTTTTTGTAGAGAAAATTACTATTTTTTGTAGAGATAATTATTAATATTTGTACAAATTTTTACAGAAGTTAGTAGTAGTAATTACGATAATTGTAATAAATTTCTTCTTCTACAAACAATAGTAAAATATACTAAACATTGTGGACTTCTTTCCTATTGTTATAGCATTTTATTCGACAATTCAATTGCTACAATAATTAATAGTTTTTAACTATAAATACTAGTAAAATTTTCTACAAATTGTTAAGTATTTTTCTACAAGTCTACTACTACAACATTGTAGTAAAATTTTCTAGTCACATTTTTTTCCGTGTAGATAAGTTATTTTTAGGTTAAGAAGATTGATTAGTGCAGATTTGATGTAATTAGTAAGTATTAACAATTTAATTTATTATGGTGTTAGATTTGTTTAAGGACTTTGTTGATTATTGTTTTCTTATAGCTTTAACGAAGTATAATTTCATTTTGGATCGATTTTCAATTCTTTTTTAATATACCTATTTGTATCAAAACATGTCTGGCCCGGGTAAAATTAAGTATTCTTGTTCAGCTCCTAATTTGTTAAATAAGTATTATTCTAATATTCAGCAGGCTGGTTATTCAAATAAAACCTTTTTTCATTTTCCTTCCGATATTAAAATTTGCGAGAACTGGTTTAAGAATTTAAATTTATCTTTAGATAATAAAATTCGCTATCTTTGTGAAGATCATTTTTTGCCAGAGTCTTTTAGTAAAATTGCTTTAAAACATAAACAACTAATTGCAAATTTTGTACCAATTTTATTAGATAATAGTACATCCAGTTCAACTATACCCAACTATACTCAACCCGAAAGTCAGATTTTAGAAAATGTTGAAGCTGAAGTACATACACAGCAACATAAAATAGATTTGCTAATCCGCAACAAAAAACAAGAAATTAGTTGCAAACGTAAACTTATTATTAGTGATAAACAATTTGAACAACCCTCCAAACGGAGGAAAACTGTTCTGCAACAATTAAATGAAAGTAAAGTCAAAAATTTTACTCCTAAAGAGAAAAAGCTTCATTTTATTAATAGAGAATAAAATATTAGAACTTGCAAATTAAAGAAAGCGCTCATAGTTAATAAGTTTCAATTTTTCCTTCTCTTGGATTGAAACTTTGCGAATTTTAATGATTATTCTTTACAGAATTTAAAGGATACCTATCCTTTTTTTCGTCTGTTAAAAATGAAAAGTAATTTTCAAACTCAAATTTGTTAGGTCAACTACAACAGATTAGTTAAAATATAATTTAAATCAACTATTGCACTATGAGAAATAAACTGAAAGTTTTTTATATAAACTAATTTTAGACAAATTAAAAATAACTTTTACTTTTATAAAAATGGGATACATTTTGATAAGAAAAATTGTTCAATAGGATTAAAAGTATGTACATTTTTATAGGAAACTCCTGACACCTGCACCGAAATTTGGTCCAGTTTTCCAAGAATGAGAGGAGAATACTATTAATTTCACTTACAGTTATTGTTATTTGTACATGTTATGTATGTAATAAACGTTTGAATGCACCTTACTTTTATTAAATGATTAAACTATACCTATGTTTCAAATATTTTAATGTAAATATTTTTAATTTGTAATTTTTGGAGTTTTTTTAAAGTAATGAATGCCACAAAATTTAATAAATAATAAAGGACATCTGAATAAGCCGCGGTTAGGCTTGACACTCTTCTTTTTAATTGTCTTCTTTTATGCTACCTCTAACCAAAGCTTTAACTGTCAAGTTAAATGGCCAATTGTGTAGCGTGCGATGGTGGCGCCAAATAGTATGGCCGAAACTAACCACTTGTTACCAGTGCCGTGTATTTAAACGGTTTATCTTTTAATATTAATTTATCTATATGTGGCCATTCAACCATAGTTCGTTGTCTTAAAAAGCTCAGAATGGTATGGAAAGTGGCTGGATGGGTGTCCCCACGAACTCTTTGACAACAATAAGGCCAAGCGTGTCCAAATTTTCACTTCTTATTTTTTATATTAAATATTGGCTAATAATTACGCACCAACCATATATCGTATGATGGAATTTTTATATTGTAATTATGTCTCTCTTGACAAGGCATAGAAGATTAATCCCCTGATACTCAACGAACCTCATTTAAAATTATAAACGTTCAGATCTCTATATTTACCAAATTTAAATTATTAAAAATGAAATGGAGACAACAGCCTAAGGTTCTACGTGAATGACCTAGGTCAAAACCAACAACTGACATTTTTTATGCTATTTGCTTCCACACTAGATGGAGCTACTGGTGAAATTGTGTTTTCTTCCTCTATTTTTTTTATGGGGAAACTAAACCAAAGATTCCATAGTTATGACGTGTATTTTTGTTTTTGTATTCCGATTTTTTCGTCTGATTTTAGTAGTTATTTTTGTTGGCTTTGGATTTTGGTCTCTGTTTATAGTGTTTTCTTAGTTATTTGCAAAATTGTGTTGTTTTGTTTTTTTTCCTACTATTTTGCAATGATTTTGGTGCTACGTTGAAAACGAGAAAAACTGCATTGATTCATCATGCATTATAAAAAGACAAACGAGTACACCTAATTGATAATCAATTTATCGCTGGACTAGATCCCGAAATCATTTTTCACATAAGAGAATAAACCATCTGTATTTGGATGGAAAAGATTTTTTTTCAGTTAATGAATAGTCCTTTTAATCCAATACCATTATTACATTTATCCTCAGGTAAAAAGACATTTATAAAATATAACTTTAGTGTTAACAAAATGTGACAACGAACGTTTTCATACATTCGATGGGCTTGTGTGGAAAAATCGGGCAAAATCTTGATTTTTCCTTAGAAGATTACGGCCTTATTTCAACCCTTTAGTCACTTGCAACATTAAAGCCTTTGGTTTTCTGAAGCCTAGTTCTATTAATTAATCCTATAGTGAAAACGGCTTGCGTAGAAAAATGGGCAACAAATAACCTTTCGTTTTTGTTAGGAAAAATCTAATTTTCCATGTGTTATCCCCAGCAGCCACTCGTAAATTTCCTTTCATTCTACTTAAAATCGATGTACTTTTCAACCCTCTTCGAAGCTTGTATGCAAAAATGGGGCATCTATACCTGTCAGTATTTGACGGACTATTACTTTTTGGAAACGATTACTCCAATAAGCATTGAATCAGTTGTAAGCTAATCCCTGGATTCCCATTTTTTCCATTTTATTAAGTAATATTTGGTGGTGCACACAGTCAAATGCTTTCGAGAGATCCAAAAACAATCCTAGTGCAAGTTTACCTTCATCGAGAGCATCGAGCGTTTTACTTACAAAACCGAAGGTAGCAGTAGTAATAGTAGTAGATTTCGATTTTTTAAATCCATGTTGGTTTTTTACAATGATGTTCGAATTCAAAAATAAGTTCAATCTTTTAAACATAGCTATTTCAAATATCTTTGAAAATCTTGAAAGAAGACTAATTGGTCTATAATTTTCTACAAATAATGGATCACCTTTTTTTGAAAAGAGACTTTACTACTACAACTATCAATCTCGATGGGAAGACTCCATTAATTAATGAATTATCTACAATACACGTTAATGATTTCCAAATATAAAAAACTATTCTTTTTAACATTATCATCATCATTAACATTATATGCTCTTGATTTGTATTTACTAAAGTTTTACCAATAAGATTACTGGCTGCTGTTGCAAAGAAATCATTAAATATATAAATTAATTAGTAAATAAATAAATAAAAAAGTTGTTTGGTAATTTATCAGATTCAAAAGGTTGACCATACAGTAATGAATTAGGTTTCCATTTATAGATTTAAAAATAATGGTTAGTACGCACCTGTTTTAATAATCTGCACATAATGGAGGATTTGATAAACCGAAATTCGTGCACGAGCTGCTGCACCAATAATTGCTGGAGTCAAATCCTAAAAGTAGTTGTGATATTATAATGTAACTAATTAAAATGTATTATTTTAAATTAAAACATTACAAATAAATTAATTCAAATAAATAAAAATTATTATTTTAAGTTACGTGTTATGATTGCCATGGCGGTTACCGATATATGAATATTGGTTTAAAATGTCTATTCAGCGCAAAGGAATTTTATATTTTAAGACAGAGTTTTTAAAAATGTATTTTTATTTTCAACCAATTTACAATTATTACAAATATGACTAAGTTGAACAGATTTGGGATAAAGAATGTCGCTAATAATGATTTTACTGTTATTTATGATCTAAGTTCACTTATTTTAATTATTAATTATGATTTGAGCTAATTACTTTAATAAGAATATTTTCTTAAAATGTTTATAGGTTGGCACTCTATATTTTCATCATCAAGCACTATATATTTATTGGTAAATTGATTTTCGGTAATATAACTTGGGATTCTATGTTCTAATAAATTCACGTCGAAAAGAGGTTTTTGAGTATAATCCCCTGCCTGAATTCCTTTAATAAAAAATGTCAATCAATATTTAAAAAAACTGGGAATATTGCCTCTTCCTTCATTGTATATCTAAGAAACATTATTGGAAACACATAATAATCTATACAAATTAAATAAGCAACTTGAATTGGGTAGTTGCATTTTAGTAACATTTGGTTGTTTTTTCTAAGAAAATACATATACTGTAAGACTTTTAATTAAAAATAATACGATTTTTCTCTTTAACAAACAACATTTATTCTACATAAGACAACTCGCTTCTCTTCCACCATCTTGTCATCTTCCTTCCTTTCCGGAAACCACGTTCCGTGAGAACTATCAATTGTCAGATGTCACGTCAAGTGTCAAGGATATTTCCGGGCGGCAAATTCAAATTTAAAAATTAAGTTTCTACAATACATTAAAATAATTTTGATTTTAAGTGGGAAAGATTTTAAAGCATACTCAAAAATCATTGATGGTCCATTGTTGACTATTGACTAATGATTTTACAAACTTCTGTTTAAATATTATTTTCATTCGTTTAAAAGATAAGATGATAACATATAGGAAAATGTATGTATACTGGGACGTACGTTAGTTAGTATATAAGATATTAGAAAAAAAAAATAGAAACCGTTGAGGTCTTACCATATTTATCAGTTTCGACTCATGAGTCCCAATAATATTTATCACTTGAAAACATAATTCTAAGAAATATGTTTGTTCTTTGCATAAATCTCTTGCAGTAGTTAATAAGCTTGGGTTAGGAATTAATTCATAAAATCCAAACAAATCGTAAATTGCCTGAAGACAAAAATAATATTATTTTATAATAATAGATATAAAGTTATTCATACAGTGCGGAACAGCCAAATGAAATAAATTCAGTAGCCCAATTACTGTGTATATTTATAAAAAAAATCCGAAACATGTTAATTTTAAAATATAAAATGACATACTGCAACGTGAAAATTTTATCCCTACCTTTAATCCCCTTTAAGTGACAGTTCCAACCCTCAAATTTGTAAATAATAAGTAAGGGCTTCTGATACCTCATTTAAAAGTCTCTTTATTTTTTATTGTAGTTTTTAAATTTATTGTAAAAATTAGTTATATTAAATTTAACTAAATTAGATATAATTTCACTAAATACGATGTAATAATTTTCAATAAATTCCAAAACCTACTCATATTAGGTTGGAAGTGGCAACAGGGCTTACACCAGCATGGATATTTACGTTGTTTATTATAAGCGTACAGCGTCTTACACATTTATTTATTGATAAAAATAAGTTGTATCTGTGTAAAATTCTTCTCTTTATCTCTTCTCTTACTTCTCACCTTTCGTCGGCTCGCCCCGTCCTTACAAATAGAGTATATCGATTGTCGAATTAATTTTGGCATCGTGAATATTATATTTTATCAATGGAGGGTTATATTATATTTTTTTTACATATAGTTCCCCGATTATGGCTTAATAGCCGAAAGTGCTTGACGAATAACTAATAAAATTTACACACCTAAAAATTATTTCGATTTTTTTCCTTTTTTTTCTTTTTTTTTAATAATTTATTATTTAATGAAATATTTACTATTTACCTAATATTTACCTTTAAGAGACCTGTAATATATAATAAAGGAGGTATAAACGGATTGTCTATGTCAAACTTTATACCAGGACCATATGCTACACCTAATTTGACTTTTTCATTATATTCTGGTTTCTCAGCCATCATTATAAAGTAACAAGTGTTCCCCTGTGAATGACCAATAACAAATGGTTTTTGTTTTGTTTTAGTTAGTATAAAATCTATATTTGCTGTTACATCGTAAACAGCGACTTCATGGAAACTGAAACAAATAATATATTTCAAAAAGATATGTCGAAGGATGAACGGAGAAAAAATTACAGATAATCAACACTTTTCAGGAGATAAAAAAAACATTCACAAGTGCATAGAACAATCCTTTTTACTCTATAATAGGACTAATATTTACTCATGTTTTATCCAAAAATTGTAATTAATACCTCGCCTATACCAGTATTTCCCAAAGTGGTCCAGGTAGACCCCCAGGGGTCCATAGGATACTCAACGGGGGTGGTCTACGTTGGGCGTAATAAAAAATGGGGGTTCACAATCGTAATCGAGGGTGCATGAAAATTAATTCGGTTTCGATAGTGAAGCAATATACTATTAAACAATTGATTACTCATTTTTCCATGTGATGAAGAAATTCTTGTAAAAAACTTTAACTGTTTTTAATATATACAGTCAATATTTTAGTTACTAAAATGTTGACTTGACTTCTCTTATCAATATAGGCAGATACTATTTTAAGAAGCTCAGCGACTGTTACTTGTAAAAAACTGCATATTCCATATTCAGTACAACGCGTCGAGACTTGTCGTTGCCGCGCCGGCCGCCGTCCCGTCCGCAACGCTTATTCAGACGTGCAAATTAATACGACTTGTGGTGTATGTGCTTGCAATCTTGCATGAACGTGTTTGATTCCTTACTAATATAAATACGAATGTCAAGGATAATCGTTACTCATTTGTTTCTGAAATTTCATAAAGAAAAGTGAATCGATATTAGTGTTGACCAGTGACTGAATTTGTTTCCAGACTTTTGAAAAGAAAAGTAAAGTGAATCGATATTAGTGATTGCCAGTATCGGAAAAGTAAGTACCTATTTGCCTATTTGTTATATGCATATAGTTTTAAGCCGAGAAAGATTTAACTTATCGTCCCTACTTTATTTTTATTACCTATCTAATTCATTTAATTATTGCGGAGTTTTGATTTCAGAATATTGTTTAAAAGTTTCTATAGAATTTACAGAAATATATTAAAATATAATAGATGAAATAATAATTTTATATCACATTAAAATAAGTTCACCCGTTTTCATAAAACTCTATTATGGATCTTAGCGATTTATTGCTTTTAATAATTAGAAACAGTTTGCAGCCGGAACTTTGTTTATTTATAATAATTGATTATTCATATTACGTTAAAATAGCCATATCCTGTTAAGTTCGAATCGCCTTAAGATTACTAAAACAAAGTTTCTTTTTATTTATTTACTTACACATTTATTTACAGGTAGGTAATTGATACAAAACATGGCCGAATCTAAGAAGAAGTGTCCTCAGTACAGTGTTGAATATTTAAAATTTGGTTTTCTTCCATCAAAGGCAGACAAACGATTGCCCACATGCCTTTTATGAAACAAAATTTTGAGCAATGACTGTATGAAACAATCAAAGCTAAAAGATCATCTAAAAAGGTGTCATCCTGATAAAATAGGTAAAGATTTGAAATATTTCCAAACGTTAAAGGAAAAATATAAAAAGAGACCCACCGTGCACAGCATGTTCTCTTCAACGTATGAAAGCAACGATGATGGCTTGCGGGCAATATCTCATTACTTATCGCAAAATCTGGAAAACCGCACACCATTGGAGAACAGTTAATTTTACCTGCTGTTTTAAAAACTGTTCTGCACAAATCTTCATTTGACATACTCAAAATAATTCCTTTGAGTATCATCATCATCATCATCTGAATTAGGGCGTGGTTCAAAACCCACTTGTACTGAAGCTCTAGGCTTATTGTACCCTCACAGTTTCTATCCCATCAGATTGATTTTCTTGATGAATTCAAGAATATGTCTGATGGGCGCTTTCGCGATTTCTTCAGGTTCCGGATATTGTACCCCGAAGTACCATTCCCGTTCCCATTTAAGGTTCCGGCAGTGGCATAGTATGTGAATAGGAGTTTCGTCCTCCTCTTCACATATTCTATATAGGGAGTCATCAGATATCCCTAAGAGATTTAGGTGTCTTCTAAGGCCGCAGTGTCCCGTAAGGAGTCCTATTACGGCCTTGAGTTCGCTTCTGCTAAGGTTTAGCAGTTGATGTCTGCTCGTGGATGGCCCCTCTATGAATCTTTTGGACTGTCTAAGTCCAGGAAGTTCCATCCAGAGCCTATGGTGTTCTCTTTTTATTTGTTCCTTTAACACCCATTTAACATGTTGGTATGAGATACCACATGTGGGTTCTGGTCAAATAAGAGTTTTTCCGCTCCCTTCCTTGCTAGGCGGTCTGCTTTCTCGTTTCCAAACACTCCCTCATGTCCTGGCACCCATTCAAGGGTAACCTTGTTATGTTCTGCCAGAGCCTGGAGGGATTGTTGGCAATCAAATATTGATTTAGATTGTACTTCTACCCTTTTTAGTGCTTTAAGGGCTGCCTGACTGTCTGTCATGATAACGATTCTCTCATCTCTAAGAGAGTCATTTAGCATGACTTTGGCGCAGGCATTTATTGCTGTTACTTCAGCCTGGAAGACTGTTGTCAGTGACCCCAGGTTCAAACTAATTGTCCTCCCTGAGTTCACATGGTAGATCCCAGCTCCTGTGCTGTTTTTCATTTTCGAACCGTCTGTATACCAGATTGATTCGTTTTGTTTTTCCGTTTTTTCCCGGCTTTTGGCCCTTTCTGGTATTTGAATATCAAAAGGTTTCCTGAAGTCGTGAATAATGGGCGTTCTATCCGATGGCATTCTTAGTACCGGATTTTATTTTAATTTCTCTAATATCATTGTGTGGTGTCCTTTTCTCGAAAGTTCCCATCCAAATCCATTAGTAAACAGCCTGTATGTCGCCGCCATAGCCTCCTTCTCCACCACAAGGTGTAGTGCAGAAAGACCTAGCAGTAGCTCCATTGCTGCTGTGGGCGTAGTTCTAAATGCCCCTGTTATTATTAGGCAGGCTAGTCTTTGTACCTTGTCTAATTTTCTATTAGCTGTTATGCTTTTAGTCTTATGCCACCATATCACTGATGAGTAAGTTATAACAGGTACTACAACCATAGTGTAAAGCCAGTGCATCATACTTAGTTTAAGCCCCCAAGCGTTCCCTACCATCCGTCTACAGGCCCATAGTATTCTTATAGCTTTTTCTGTTGTTTTTTCTATATGGCTGCAGAAGCTAAGCTTGTACATGATGATACCAAAATAAGCTTGCCAGACTAGAGTTTATGATCCTTTGAGTAACAATACTGTACAAAGGAGTATTGATGAAATCAGCTCTGATGTTGAAAGTTTCTTGTGTGATTATCTACGAACAATTCATTTTTCTATTCAACTGGACGAGTCAACTTTACCAGGCAATGAAGCATTATTATTGGCATATGTTCGATTTGTTATGGGCGAAGAAATTCATAAAGAGCTTCTATTCGCGAAAACTTTGAAGACGGACACTAAAGGTGAATCAATATTTAATGTTTTGAGTGATTTAAAAAAAAAATCGATTCTATTCACAAACGTTATTTCGGTGGCAACAGATGGAGCTTCTGCCGTGGTTGGGCTATATCGTGGGTTTATAAGTCATCTTAAAAGAATTATACCAGAGGTAATTCACTGTGTTATTCACCGACAACATCTAGTAGCGAACAATTTGAGTGATAGATTGCACCAATCGCTTCAATTTGTAATTAATGCAGTTAACAAAATAAAAAGCAATGCATTGGATACGCGTTTATTTGCACAATTGTGCGATGAAAATGATGAAGCCTTCCAATGATTGCTGTTACATACCGAAGTACGCTGGTTGTCGAAAGGTGCATGTTTATCAAGATTTTATTTACTTTTTGACTCAGTTTAAGAGTTTTTGGAAAGTAAAGATCCTAATTTAAAAAAAAAACTTGTTCAATTTTAAAGCAGACATCGCGTATCTGACAGATTTGTTCAAAAAATTTAATGGCCTCAACTTACAATTACAAGGGGGCAGCCTCAATTTAATAAAAATAAAGAGTGTAATTTCAGATTTTCTTGGTAAATTGAAATTTATGAAGGAAAATATTGGTCGGGGCGAATTTTCACAGTTTTCAAACTTGTCGCAGGTAGAATGCCTTGATGAAAATATTCAGACATACGTTCAACATTTGATTGCCCTGCATGATGATATTAAATTCAGATTTGAAGATATTCTGTCGATGGAAATATCACCATGGATCATAAATCCATTTGATGAAACGGAAGTGGAGAATGTGATATTACAAGAGAAGCTACTTTTAGCTTAGCACTAATGAGGAGCTGAAAGTGATATTTAAAAGAGGGTATCAAAAATTTTGGCTGCAGGCAGAAATATCCGAAAAATATCCTGGACCGTGGGGAATTGTGCAAAAGCTTCTGATAGCGTTTTCCTCGTCATATCTCGTCGAAAAAAGTTTTAGTGCCGTTACAAACTTATTGTGCTGTGAGTCACTGTAGATTTCAGAAAAGTAAAGTTGGATGGAGTCACTTTTTCGTTTGGCCAACTTTGCTTTTTTGACATCCACTCATAGCACAATCAATTAAAATTTAATTGAAAATTTGTTTAGTCGACTTTATTATCAAATAATTAACCCTATCGCAATCAATTCTAACCTTTTTTTTTTTTCGAAAACTGTTAATTCGTCGTTAAAACTCACCCACAACGCAAGTTTCCATATATAGATCTAACCTTCACTTTTTTTTTCGAGATTTAGAAATTGGTAGTGATGTAGCTACCGGATCCAGCAAAATTTTGAAAGTGGTCTGTGAAACAAATGAGTTTTGGAACCTCTGCCCTATAGAGTAGATGGAGCGGAATTGTTCAAATGAGATTATATTTATTTTTAAATATAATTTTTAGTAAAATTGTTACGAGGTAATTAATGACGATTCAAAGGACTTAAATATGATGCCATAGAAAATAAGCAAGAATAACCAACATCGCTTTAATTAAAATGGTATATGTCGCAAATTACCGGTTGATTGCTTTAAAACGGTTTATGTGTTTGGATATTTTTTGAAATGACGTGTTTGCTTTTGCGCAGAAAAGCAGGTTCTGGTAACAGTGATTTTTAGAGAACTTGGAATGTCATGTTTGGTAGCTAACAGTGCTGTGTCTGAATTAATAAATGTATTATCTACTTTTACTGTTAAAAATGCTTTGTATTTTTAACAAAACCTATAACCAAATGAGAAACATATTTTTTTTACATTAAATATGTCTGTTCTGTGAAATTTTGTATTTATTTTTTATTTATTTGACCACATAGATCAAATTTTCTAAAAAGGACGATAAAAGACGATAAATATTTGGGGTTTGAAATTTTAGTGGAACACGGATGGTCGCTCTGGTCAAGCAGTCTGATTTCGATCTGATTCTTTATATTCTTTTTATATTTTGTATCAACAAAAATTCTAAAAAATAAATAATTTTAATTACCCAAAATTCCAGTACTTCTTGCCTTTGTTTATGTTATAATATTTATGGCCTCGTGACTTTATGACTCCTCTAGCATTTAAAAGCCAAACATCAAAACCTCCATCTGCTAAGTTATACGCCAAAGATTTGTTCGCGCCTTGAAGTACAAACATATCTGGTGTAGCTCCCAGGCCATGTAATAAGAGAACAGGACTTCTTGTGGTTTTCTGTACATTTTTCCGACCCCAAGGTATTCTGTATATTGTCAGAATGTAGTTGTCCGCTGTCGTTGTTTTGTACGATTCCAGTGGGTAACCATCAAAGGCAATTTTTTGTTCCTAGGAAGATAAAGTATTAAATATTTCTATTTTTAATAAGAGGATTAGTACTAGAATTAATTTATATTTAGACAAAAAGTAGAGTTTGCTTATCAACTCTCTCAATGAATCTAGGAATGATGAAGAAGCACCAAGACACGGAAGATTGGTATTTAGCTGGCAAAGATTATTAGCGGGTTTACATATACATGGAAAGAAAAAGTCTGCATTATTTTGTAAATTACTTACGATAGTAAATATAGAAAATAATACTGCTTGATAATGTATTTAAATAATGTATTTTAGTAAATAAATAGAATTATTATTATAAAATAGAAAATAAAAACTTTCAGCCTAAAATTTACTTTTAATATATAAACAAGTACTGAAGCCAGTATGGACTTACGGCATACAGCTCTGGGGGTGTGCCAGTGAAAGTAACATAAATATATTACAACGTCTTCAGAACAAAATATTAAAGGCAATAGTAAACGCCTCTTTGTATGTTATGAACACAGAGATCTGAGAGTGCCTACAGTCGAAGAAGAGAGGAATACCACCCCAAAAAAAAACACGAAAAAGACTGCACGATCACGTCAATATTGAAGTTGTACAGTTCCTGGACAACAGATACCTAATGAGAAGGCTTAGAAGGACCAAACCATTTAAATTAGGGATTCGAAAGTGTGTTAAAGCCGAGCACAGTGCGTGTATGCAAATGCCGAATGTTAACACGAACTTACATGTCTGCTCGCCAATTTTTAGTTGATAATAATATCATTACTAACTAAATTAATGCTTATGGCCCATCATACGTTATGTTTTAAATAAGATATTAGTACACTACGACCTAGAAGAGAACTAGAACTTGCACTTGCAGTTCTATATTTTCAAGGAAGTGCAGGATTTGTTACAATGCATAGCCTGTTCATGATCAAACAGATACAAGCTTTCGACATTTTCTGGTTATAATCATCCAAAAGTATTAGTCTGTCTTAGCCCCGGGACATTGTTCGAATTATCGGTTCGCCTATCGCCCAATTCTTTTTTAATCTTTCCTAAAAATGTGTAAAACGGCTCAGATCACACAAATGGTGTGTCAGCCACTAGGACAGCTTCCTAGTGATACAAACACAGACTAGTCTTTGTATTTTTGAGATATTATTTAATCGTTCCAATGTAGCTCCACCTGGGCATTTACCCTCGATATGGTAGTAGCTCACCAAATAGCCAGTTCCAAATATGTGGACATTTAGAGACGCTACTCGGCCGTAAGTAATCCTGAATTTATTAAGCTGTAATGCAGTCTCTAGACACCTCTCGATAACTTCTCAACCAACGGCTTTATTGACGAGTTGAGAGGCAGGTCTTATTTCCCCCTGGAAAATGCACAATATACCTATCTTAGCCACGTACGGCTTTTTCGTTTGTGTCATTTATTTTTTCCAGCAACGTTGCGGTAATTCTGCATGCTTCGTGAAGCTTAGGGGGTTATAATTGACAGCTGTGTTATTTTTAACAGGTCTGTTATTTTATAAACACACAGAAATAACAACCTGTTCACAAATAACGTGTTTGTTAAAAATAACATTACTTCTACATCATAACCCCTTTTGTAAATATACTGTTACCATGCACCCTGCAGTAACTTGCGGCTGTTATAGGTAAACGTACGAATAAAAGAAGAAGTGTCATGTCACCCATCACCCTACAGTGTGCTGTGGTTGGCATAAGTATGAGTACGAATTATAATTAAAGAAGAAGGGAGAACAGTCTAGCTTAGTCTTTCCTTGTAAAGAAATATCTGGAAGTTTCGAGAAAATTAAGGGAGCTATATAAGGTGATCTTGACGACACTGTTCAGTTTTATGATAGACGTTGGAAATGCCCCAAGTCCATCCTCTTTCTTTATTCTTTAAATGTAAAATGGATAAATCAAAAAGTTACTTGGATTTGTGGCTATAAAAAATCATTTTTTTGCTATAATTTTTGTGACTCTATAATCAACAATATTTAGATGTGCCAGATGATGATAAAGTAGATACGAGTACTTCGAAACTAGTCATAAAATAACTGTGAGACAATAAGGAAGTTTTCTACCACCTTTTCAATTCACAAGTTTTGCATCGGTAATTTTTCTCGAAGAACCTACATTTAACACTTTTTCGTGTCAATTTTTTTCATAAAATTACTGATTGGCAAAATATGTAAGTTAACAAAGATACATGTATCCCATTATAAACCTCTTATAATTTTACAGTTGAAAAAAAAAACTTACGAAAGTCATATCGGCATACGGATATTTCTTGAATTGCAAAGTTATTGTAGGTAATATTTTCATAAAAAAAATTAAAATCCATTGGAATTTCATACCTTCTGGAACAAACTAAAATTAAAATATTTGTAAAAAATAAAGCAGATAAAATACACTCCACTGTTAGATTTAAAATAGTAGTTTATGTTATAAGGACAAAAAGTTGAGCGACTACGAAAAGTTTGCCAGGCGAGACGTAGTCTAGCCTGGGCAACTCGTAGGAGTCCAAAAATATACTTTTCGTCCTTGTTTCATACATTATGTGTTCATAAATATTTAAAAAAATATAATAAATTAAATCCAAAATGATCTTATTTCCAATTTTTTTTTTAACTTAGATAGCTGTGATCGATAAAAATAGCTGGTATATCTTTGATAACAATTGAACAATTGATGTCAAGTCTGTGTGCCTGTGTCAAATCGATTTAATTATAGTTTATTAAGTTTATTCAAATAAAACACCTCTTATTCAAATCTACGTGTGGATTATGGACTACTAATTTACAATAACAAAAAAATGTATCCCAGCAGTATTAAAACGTAAACTGAAAATAAAACAGAATGTTTCTGTAAGGACCGTGCGTCATGACCATAGATCTCAGAAACCCTAGATAGTGACTGCTCCGGTTAGCCAGCCACTTCCTATTGTCGGCCGCTTTTAAGTTTGTGTGCACACAATAAAGTTACTCTCTAAATGTTTATTCAAATAATATGTTACCTCTTTTCGGCCATATCTCTCCTACAGGTTGGAAAATAGCAACAAGCTTGTTTATTATTACAATTTTAAATCAATTAGATGTGAATAGTACATATTTAGCTGTTGTAAAATATAAGAATAATTGTTTTAACCTAAAAAATATTTAGTTGGTCAGGTGGTCGTTAAACTGGACACAAAAATTTCATTTATCCGATTCTCGGCGAGGGTAACAGAAAACCGGTAAAATTTCTCTACTTGGTATCTCTTTTTGATATTTTTGTTTTACATATTACCTTCCTTATTTCGTCCACTAGTTCTCAGGGTATATAGCAAACCAGTGCCAGTTACCGGCCACCTACTTATTTTAAAAATGCGCGCGAAATATAAATAGTCGATATTCAGTGGCCGAAAACAAGATAATGGTACCGGTTTTCGACCTCTTATTTAAAACCTATATAATTTAGGTGGCCGAGAAGAAGGCCTTTTATCGACCATTCGTCGTCGAGATGCTAGGAATAAATGAGTTTTCTTTTCGTTTCAGATAGCCAAGAACAAAAAAACAGACACCTTGCAGCAGCAGCCTACTAAGAAATCTCAGAAAAGAATATTTTCCTTGTATTTAGTAGACGCGTTAAAAATGGTTCTTATTGAAATTAGAGAAAATAACTTAAGTTGTGCTTAAGGATAGCGAGCCATACATTTGGAGTACCCCAAACCACAGTCCAAGACAAGTTAAAAGGAAGATCTTTGAAAAATGTAACGAGAAAAACAGGACAAGAAAAGGAGAGCTGAAAATCCTGAACTGTACCTAAGATAGGAATGAAGAAAATATGAATAAAATAATAGATCAAGAAAGTGTACCTAAAGAATATAAGACTAATAAAAAAAGGGGTAAACTAAATCAAGAAAGTGTAGAAGAAAAGACTGAAGAAAATAGGGATAAAATAATAGATCAAGAAAGTGTACCCAAAGAATATAAGACCAATGAAAATAGGGATAAACTAGATTAAGAAAGTGTACCTAAAGAAGATAAGATTGAAGAAAATAGGGGTAAAATAATAGACCAAGAAAATGTACCTTCTCAAACTCATTGTTCAGAAGAGATCCCATCAGAAAATATTACAGATCTTTCTGAAAATCATTTGCATTTTCCAGAAGCTATTAAAAAAATTTTAAAATAAGGCGCCAAAGGAAAAGTTATTTAACGCGATATCCTCCCAAGCTTGGCGAGATAACTACTCAAATAAAGAAAAGCCAAAAATAGAGAAACTTCAACGAATAAATTCAAGAAAGGAGCAGAGAGCAGCAAATAAGAAACAAAAATAAACGAAAAAAGGCAACGACAATTCTTTGAAAAATGCTAATGAAAATGCCTCTGAAACTCTTACCACTGAAAAAGAACATTTAAAATGTACCTTATCAGTGACGCAGAGGATGATCATGAAAAAAATATTGGTTGTGACTATGCTCAGCGTTTCCTGAGTTAAGATATGAAGTCACTGCAATAAAGGTCTATTAGTATGATTTGTGCACATAAAAATAGGTTTTTATTGGTTCATATTTTCAAAAGTTTTTTTTTTGTTTAACCAAAAAAGCTTTTGTGTAATTTGTATTTTGGTGACAAATATAGACTTTTGACTTTTTTAACATTTGAATTTTTTTACTGATTAATTTACCGATCTCCCAATTTTCTGAATCGTCTTCCAAAAATATGGGTGGCCGCATAATCGGGTTTGTTCGGCCTAGCGGTCGAAAAGCAGATCATCAGCGGTCGGTACTTGGCACATGGTGGCCGAAAAAGGAAAAAGTACACTTTTATAAATTTAACGCAAAGAGAAATGTTAACGGGCTGCAAAAGATTATAGTATACAGAGCTATCCAATATAGGATTTAAATGGAAGAAAGATGATCCCTGGCTGAGTCTTATGGAACTTCTTGTTGCCAGTAAAATATTTAGTTTTTTAAAGTTATACCAAGTACAAAAATTTATCTTTATATACATTTGTTTATTTGGATAAAACATGGATTTTTAACAATGGTACAATAAACCGCTCTTGGCAAAATAACGATAAATGGAGCGTAAAAACTACAAGAGTTGATGGAAAAAGATTCATTGTTGTTCATGCTGGTAAATAAAATGGATTTATTGATGGGGAACTACCCACGGGTCCAAGCTTGACCCAGGATTGGTCCAACTATGCAGAACTCTGGGCCAAGCTTGCAAGAGAGTCTTGGGCCAGCCTTGGTAGAAGTCTGGAATGATAATCTTGAACTAAGCTTGGTTATCAAGACTGGTCCAGACTTTAATATTATGGTAGGCCATACCTAAATGCCAAGACTTGGCCACGCGTAATTGCCAAGTCTAGACGATGTTTAATTACCTGAAATTCGCCATGCTTGGTTGCCAGGACTGGGCTACTTTAGTTGCCCGAATTAAATCAATAATTATATAATAAAAAAAAATTATATCCATACCATCAGCGTCACTATCACTACTACCGTTAGAATCACTATTATCAAAATCATTGTTCAACGTCTGTAAATTTCATGGTTCTGTTCCACTGGGATAATTAACCTCATCTATAGGTTGTGCAAAACAAAATTAGAAGTATATTTTTCTTGTTTGAATTAATTCTACTTTTTAACATTTTCTATCATCCCTTGTTAATATTAAATTAAATACTGTAAGTATTAAACTTAATCTATTTTATGTAGTTATTTTTAAAAGTTGGACACAATGCTTGGCAAATATGAGAATATTAGTGACGTGCATCAAACTTTGTTTTGCATAAACTATACACTGCTGTTAGAAGTTTCATTACTTAAACTTGGCACTCTGACACCTAAAATGCTTTATGTATTTAAAACTGTTTTTGTTTTATTTAACTCACGCCACCTAAGGTATGAATCAGACATACAATATCTATTAAGTAGCAACAAAAAGTAAGATTTAAAGGTTAACAATAAAGAAACTCAAATACAAATATGCACATAAAAATAGTTCGACTCTTTCTGTGAGTTCTCAACTTTAATGTGTTTCTTCTTCTATTAATACCCACAACTCACACGCATCACCCAGTGATAATGATGTATTATACAAAATATACTAAAATAAACTTGTTAACTAAACTATATACACTGTAACACTAAATTACTACAGCTGAGAATCCCAGTCTTGGCTCAAAGCTGGAAAACCACAGGTAAGGCCGAGGTTCGGTTATCCAGTCCTGGGTCAAGGATGGATAACTACAGACATTACTTTTTAAAACGCCCATTAACATATGTACCAAACCTGAAATTCTATCACACACAACATTCATGTACAAACAAGATTTATTGAACACAGTTTTCAAAAATAAACCACCAAAATGTATAAAGTTAATCAACTTTCAGAACAATATGGCCACACAGTTATTGGGTTACCTTCTTTTCCTATCATTGTACATTTAACCCAATTGAAATAATATGGGGTATTGCAAAAAACATTATAACCTGCATATTGGTAGGGATAGCAACTTAACTCAAAATTGTTTAAGTATGTGGGGGGAAGCACTACAGACTGTAACCCCTCAAATCTGAAAAAATTACTCAGAAATGTTGGGACAGTTAAGTTTTATTTAAACGGAAGGATACTTTACCTATTATTACTGATTTTAAGGATGATAGCGATAGTGATTCTTATTCTGAATAACGCTTTACTTTTTATTTATTTTTATTATATTTATTTATATTGTAAGAATTGCTTCCGAGAGCTTCTAAAATTGTATATATATTAATTATTTAAAGTGTCAAAAGATGGAGTTCAAATTAAACATTGGTTTTTATAAAATGTTTCCTAAGATTCTCGAATTTTATAGCAACGTGGCAACGTCTACTTTCATGAGTTTATGACGTACAATGAAAATTTCATGTCAATGACTATTAGCGTTTTCGACTGGTCACACTCAGTTCACACTCGTGAAGTGCGAGTTTTCGTTGCTCAGCACTGGTTCAATTTAGTGACGTCATGCAAGCTTATTCCAACCGAACACGCAGTTGACCACCCAGTGCATTGTATTGAATTTGACAGCTATCATCTGAGTGATAAATAAAAGTAGTACCTTCCAAATTCCAAACAAGATCCAAGCCAAGCTTTCATTTTAAACATTTATTTAATATTGTTACAGAATATTTTATCGACATATTAACATAAACTTACATATGTTTAAGTTCTTAAGATGTCAAAGTATACTATGCATTAACAGGACTTACAACAATATTTATGGTACCTACCTGGGAGTCATCCAGGTGCGACACCACCGATTCAATGTAATCTTTTATTTTTGGCAAGTTTATTAAACTTGGCCTTAATTAAATCTTCTTTGTCTGAATCTGAT